TGCTGGCACGAATCAACTCGTGCTCTGTATGAGGTGGGATCGTTTCCGGTTCTGCTGAGCACATGGTGGCATTGCTCTGTATGTGAGATCCTGTAAGCGAGGGGGGCCACTTAAAAGAGTGAATGTGTTCACACTGTCTGGAGACCATGGAAGGCTCAGGCATTCCCTGCCTGATGTCTCGTTGCAGGGTCCCACTTCTCCTGCCCATTCCTGGGGTAGGGGCTACTTAGGGAGGCTGTGGGAGAGAATGTGATGCGGTGTCAGCTCACTGAGGGGGTGTAACTACTGCTGCATTACTGCAGTCTGTTGTGACTCTGTTTTAAATCTGTTGACTTCTTGGCCTTTCTTGTTTATTTTTAATGGAGGATGAAGCCCAACTCCAGACCTTTGGAAATCTGGATTAAAGTAAAATATCCCAGGAGACCAAACTGACTCTTCCCACGGCACTGTTGCATCTTTTTAGGATCAAGATATGCATCCTAAGCTTGGGACTGCTCCGTGATGGCCAAGCTCTTATCATGCTTTGGCTGCTGTGCTAAACCAGCCAGAGCTTAGCCATGAAGTGAACCAGTTTAACAGCGTCTTGAAGTCACTGTCGGGCTTTTAATGTAAGACTCAGGATCTCTTCATTTCTGCAGTGGCAGATTGTGGCAGATTTGTAGCAGCTGATTTGTATTTTTTTTTCTGTCTGGTGGAGAACTCCAGCAACTGGTGATAAAGAGGAAGGTGTTATACTGGGATGAATGTAGCCCTTCCTGCTGGGCAACCTTGAAATTGTCCCTGGGAAGTGTGCCTTGCAGTCAGGGGACTTTGGATGGTTGGAGCATCACGTGTATTTTGGGAGGTCCTTGCAGGCTGTGAGGTGAACTAAGCAGCCTGGAGACTTGCTGAGCACCCCATTGTTTAAGGGACACCAGAAAAACAATAGCTGATGTCCTGAGGAAGTGGCTGTGCTGAGGAAGAGGAGCAGAGTGTGTGACCTGTGGTCGCCCTGCTGTGGGAACAGCTGTGACTTTGAAACACCCCTTTCCTGGCCCATGCCCAACTCTTCAGCAGCATGGTGAGCAATAGGTTAAGCTAGGTAATGAAGCACTGAATAAATCATTCGCTCAGCTCACAGAATCTGTTCTGTACGAGTGGATTGTAGTATTTGTGAGGAAACCTGGTACCTGGCTTACCTTATTGATCGTACGATGTGGTTTTAATGGTCTGCAAAGGGTGCACAGATAACAAGAGGCAGCAGCACAGAAGCTAAATGCAGGAGGATGGGGATACATATGTGAGGGTGGATGGGGGCTGCTGTGAGATAGACCTAAATGCTGCTCTGGGGAGTAGGGTGCATGTGCAGACTGGGGGCAAGGCCCTTTTTTCCACAGGAAATGCTTTCTAGTGAAGAGAAGCCTACCTCTTCAGTGCAGAAGGGGAAAATTAGCTGTGTTCTTCAAGCTGTCAATAAGTGGAAATAAACACTATGGGCTCCATTGGTCTGCACTTCCTCTTATGGGACATTAATAGCCACATTTTGCAAAGTAGCAGTGGTTCCCCCATTAAAGAGGGATAAAACAGAAACACAATTCTTTCCTTTGTGGGATATGGGTTATGTCTCGGATGTTTTCCAGCCTGAGGGGTAAACATCTCTTAGGCAGAGCTGCAAAACAGCTTTGCTCACGTCAGGCTTTGAAAACAACTCCTCATTTAATTTTAACCAGAGGTTGGAACTCCCTGAGGAAAGCAGAGCTCTGTACTCACCCGGTTCTTTCTCAGATCCCCTCCAGGGAGAGCTCTGCCGCCCTCCACAGCCAGCCCCCTTTGGCTGAGTGTTGCACACAGGTAGCCTTGGATTCTGCTAGCCAACTGCCACTGTCTGTGCTGCTTATTAAAATCATGCTGGGAGAAGATAGCAGCAGAACAATCTCTGGCATAGGAGAATAACTGAGACCCTTCTGTTTCCCAGGAAGTTTGGAAAGAAGGTCCTTTTTCTCTGTGCCGTCTGTGTTGAAGTTGCACTTGATAACCACGTGGTACACAAAGATGGCACACCAAGCAGGCACCCTCCTCACCTTGTCCTCAAAACCCATCAGAAGTGACAGGCCCCACGGAAGAGGCCTTGAAATCACCCAGTGCTTAGAATTGTTTCTTCCTCTTTGCAGGACCCTCCATTGTGACCCCTCCTAAGGACATCTGGAATGTGACAGGAGCACAGATCTACCTGAGCTGTGAAGTCATTGGCATCCCAACACCTGTCCTCATCTGGAACAAGGTGAGGGCCTTGCCTCTTAACGTCTAGCAAAGTTAAGGTAGCTGAAACTGCTTAGTAAGCAACAGGACATAAAGTCATAGGAAATTGCTCATAGAAATTCACATCTTTGATGAGGTCTCCCATCTGTGCAGTTCTTTCCACCCCTAAACATCTGGCTTTGCTTAATCTATCTTTAATCATCTCTTTTTCCAAACTTGTGTTGGTCTCAGCACGGAACAGGACTTGTGTTTTTCCTGGTATTCAGAGCGTGTAGGCAGTGTCCCTTGACCTGCTGTCACCCTGCTGACGGCAGTGACGGAGGCAGCTGGATGCAGCTGAGCTAGCGTGAGGCACTGGAGCATGGGACATTTATCTCTGGTATAGCAGGCAGCGTGCTGATTGAGGCAGGGTGCTGGTAACACCTGGCTCTGAGCAGGGACCAGTCTTGAGTGGAGGAGATCCTGGCCACAGGACTCAAGAAACTGTGAGACCCTGGGCTCGGACAGCAAGCAGCAGAGAATAACTCACTCTGGGCACACTACTGCTCTTTCACTGACGATGTGCCTGCCTGGAGGAATGCTAGGCTCGCTGCAGCGGAAATATGTGGGTGCTGTCCCTGATCTGCATCCAGGGTAGGTCATACAGGCACAGACCATTCCTGGAACAATGCTCACACATTTGATTTTCTGCTGCTGCCACACTAAAATGATGGGATCATCAGGAAAGGTGTGTGTGGACTACAGTCAACTCCTGCTGGCCCCCCAAGCCAGAAGGCAGCTGCTGCAGGCTGCCAAGCTGGATTCATGCATGAGTACCAGCAGCTGCAGGTGGCTGAATCTTTATTGAGTGGGAGCATCACTTAATGGCTTAAACATGCCTATGGGAGCGTGCACAAATATTCTGTGATCAGTGCGGGGCGTGTTTGCAGTTCTCAGCAGCAGGCACACCAGAAAGTTGTGCTGCTCTTTCTGTTCCCACAGAGGCAAGGGGAAGACAGCCCTAGTGCACACATTGGAGCTGCACTACATACAGGATGAGATTAAATATCAGCACTAGAAAAACACTGCTTCCACACAAAACGTAGTCATATAGATCTAATGTTGATCTTGTTGCTACAAGTTCTAGCATAAATAAGACCCTAAACGCTCACACCTTTCTGACCTTCTGTTTAGATCATTCAAGGACAGTATGGTATCCAGAGAATGGAGCTTCTGCCTGGCGACCGAGAAAATCTGGCTATTCAGACCCGAGGAGGCCCTGAGAAACATGAAGTGACCGGCTGGGTACTGGTAAGTACTTGTGCAAACTGTTTGCAAACAGTGCCGTTTGCAAACAACCAGTACATTGCAGTACATCTTCTGTAAATGGGTTGTTTGCAAACGGCACTGTTTGCAAACAACCCATCTACAGAAGATGTACTGCAATGGATAGGTCACTTAGAGGAGCAGAATCTCTCTGTGTAGAAAGTCTGCAGAAGGCCTAAGACCTCCCCCAATCTGAGACCTTCTAGCTTTAGCAGCTGTCTTTGCTCCAGTGACACACACCACCTGCTGCAGAATAACACAGTGCAGAAGCCATGAGCTGTCACAGAGCAGGCTTCTTAAGGTAGCAGAGTACCTGCAGCCCAATGACCAATTGCCACATTTTAAAGGGAAGCAGAAGGAAGGGAGCTGCTCTGCATCCCAGTAAGGGAATTGCATCAGTAAGTACGATGGCTCCCAGCTGCAGAGAATCTGGCTTAGGCAAGGCAAAGTGGTTCCTGCAACACATGCCAAAGCAGTGGGGGAAACAGGGAAGATTTTGAGCCAGTCATTTTGCAGAACTAACTGCCTAGATGCAGAATGTTCTTGGAAGGTTTTTTCTTTTTTTTTTTTATTCCTGTTTCCGGACTCTTGCCAAGCGTGCAGGGTTCCAACATAGCTCCAAACTAAGTAAATGCTAAAAGAAAGGGAGTGTTACAGCATGCTCAGTCTGGCCTAGCAAACTGCAGCAATGCTAGGCTGAAGCTCAGGAGCAGCTTGTCCCATGCTGCTGGAAAATACCATAATATGAACTAAACAGCTGTTCAGAGCAGGCAGAAGCAACTGTGCAATCAGTATGGTCTCTAAAGGTTAACAGATACTTTATCCTTTCTGCTAATCCCATTATTTAATTAGGAAATTAACAACTTCTATCATGAGGTATCTCTGCTTCTTCACAGGATACTTACTGGGGAGGGGATGTTTCTTTCCCTAGATATCTCCTCTGAGCAAAGAAGATGCTGGAGAATATGAGTGTCACGCATCAAATGCCAAAGGAGAGGCAACAGCTTCTGCAAAAATTCATGTTGTGGAAACTCTGCATGAAATAGCCCTGACAAAGGGTAAGTAGTATGGCTGAACATTCAGTAGCTCTCTCCCCTCTCTGCTTACTTAATTACTTGATCCAGAATGACCATTCCTATTTAATACTGTCAAATTCAGATGCAGCTTCCAGTAGGTTTGGGAGGACACTGCCAGCCCATCTCAGTTGCCAGAGTTCCCAGGGGGTTGTCAAGTAACCCAAAATGCTGTAAAGTACTGGAGATTAAGATGCCAAATGAAAAACAGCTTTTGGGTAGATTGTGGGTTTTTTTTTCTATAGCACCTTTCATTGTTTTTCTAGCCCTTAATTAGTACCCTTTTTTCCCCTGTTCTCAAAACACTTCCAAGCCTGCCCATTTCACCTGGCAGCAGGATTGACATAACCATCCCAAGAAAGAACAGGGAGTTCAAGCACTCCAAATTCTTTAGTCTTTCTTTATTTCAAATGGAGTGGCTTTAACAGGAGGTTAAATCTGGGTCTTTGTATCCCTGAATAGCTGAAAGGCTTTCGGACAGTATTAACAACATCTGGTGTTGAATTAACAACAAAATGAATCCCAGCATCACTTTAAGCACAGCAGCCTTTACCATGGGTTTTTAGCTCGTCTCTCTTTCCAGACATCATTCTTATGGCTAGTACTGAGTTGTGCCACAAATAGCAGGAACTTGTGAGCTAGAATTTAAGATACTTACTGAGAGGGAGAGTAAGGGTGGAGTGCTGCATTTGTTGCTTTGTGGTTTACGTCTTCTGTGCACACAGCTACTGCTGTTTCTTGTCAGCTATAGGAAAGCTCCCAAGTAAGCAGTCCGTAGCTAAGCAATAAGCTGGCAGGCCCCCATTTTTTGAGAAGGAGCTGATAATATTAATGGATTATTTTCAGACGGAACAGGCTGCTCCATAGCTATATGCTACGCCCTTAGGGAGTCAGTGCCTGATTTCTCAGTGATCTCAACCCAGAAAAATGCCACCTACCACCCTCCTGCTGCAATTGGAGTCCTCCTGTGGGAAGGGAAAGAAAGCACCCTCAAATAAGACATCAGAAAAGTCACTTCCCCAGCTGCTGTCCGAGCTCTGACATTGCCCCTTGAAACAGTGTGCAGCCTAACATGTTTCTGTTTTTCCACAGATGATGGTGCAGAGCTGTGATCTGAGGACTTTCACTTATGCACCGTTTTAAGTTAGTATTTTGGAAAGCTGCAGCCTCAGGCTTTTTCTAGCTCACTAATCATTCTCTTACCTCCTTTATTCTTTGATTACCCATTTGCTTGCACACTTCCTTTGCAGATATACAAATAAAGAGATTCACAAGTTCAATTACAAATTTTAATTCTATTTACAGGAAATAAACATACTTCTAAAGAGCATACAGCTGATGAGTAAGACTATTTTAAACACAACCTACACCAAATGAACCAAAATCTGCATACTTCAGTCTCACATTTTAAAAAACCTCTTTAAGAAGCTAAACACTCATCATCCGAGGTGCAATGCTCATAGACATCAGCTCTTGGAAGAGGAGTTTGCAGGCGTAGGGCATTCGAACCAAAGATATCTGGGAAGAGATTTCAAAAGAGTTGTGATTGATTGATAAGCACTCCTAAAGCATCAACTAACTACCCAGCTTGAGTCAAGTTTTTTGACTGATTTTTGAATGTTTGGAAGTTTTTTTGAATGATTCTATCAAACTCAAAGAGGGTGCATTTAAGTTCGATATAAAGAAAAATGTGTTTTTACAGGGAGGGGGGTGAGATGAGGAAATCGCACAAATCTCCCAGAGTTGGTGGAAGCCCCATTCCTGGAGACATTAAAAGCCAGGCTCGATGGGGCTCTGAGCAACCTGACGTAGTTGTTCCTGTTCAATGCAGAGGAGTTGGACTAGATGGCCTTTAAAGGTCCCTTCCAACTCTGTGGATTCTATGATTCTGAATCAGGCATGAAAGCATTTAACAAGGATTGGTTAAGGACAGCAATAAAGCAAGAGGAAAGCAGAGACAGGCTATAGAGTCTACAAAACAGCTATCCAGAATTAACTTTTTCAACAGGAAAAAAAAAAGGCAGCCAGGGGATTTGATCTTCAATAAAAATAATTTAAACGGGCACATTTGCACAGCAAAGCATGCCTCCTATGCAGTAACTACAGTTAAGATTTCCAGCATACGTCCCTACAAGCAGCAGTCAGTTCCCAGCACACCAACAAACCTATTTAAAGTGATTCTTTTTATCTCTGCTGCCAATCTGCCTTGACACAGCTCTTTAGCTATGCATACACTATAGAACAAACACTATAAATAATACTGTACGAAAAAAAGCACATGCTATAAATAATCATGAAAAGAAGTGCTACACAAAAGACCTTCCCATGGGAACCCCAATCTCAGGCATAAAGTATCTGCATGGGGACAACCACAGTTCTAAATTCCAGCAATTTGGAGTCTTACTGTTTAATATTCTAAAAATAAGCTCTCCAACTGCTCACTTTTGAAATCTCTCCACTGCAAAATAGTTGAGCAGCATTTCCTGCCAAGTGACGGTCCAACAGTCTAACAGGAAACATCCGAATCAACTAGGACACTGTAAACAAGTAAGTAGCTATGAAGCTAAAGAAGCACTTGTTCTCATGTTTCTTTAAACATTTTCATTTAAACATAACTTCTCCCTTCTGCTGTTCACGGGAGTCACATTTCCTCTGAGTCACTGAATGGTGAAGCCCACACTTACCTGTGTTTTATTTCGGCATCCTCGGCATTCGTACGTGTGAGTCCTTGTGTTTGCAATTGCCATGATCCCGCAGAGGTTACACACGTGGACTTGGTACGGGTCTGATGCCTCAAACAACCTCTCTCTCAAGAACTGGGCTGCTCCATGGGCAATCTGACAATCTCGTTCCATTTCTCCAAAACGAAGGCCACCATCACTAGGTACAAAAAAAGAAACAAAACAACTTCTTGAGTTCTCTGGCACCATACATCAGTGCTTGTTGCTACAACAAGTAACCTGACAGAGACAGAACAGCAATATTCCAAGGCAGGAGTAAATCTGGGCATTAATTTTCCCCCACAAATAGAAATGTTGTAAGTAAATGCTAACACAACGTTGTTAACTGCTGGAGGCACATGGCTAAGTATTGGTAAAGCAGCTATCAGATACCAAACAGATACAGCACAACACTATATAGCAAAGTGATGAAAACCATTAAATCATCCTCTGCTCCTCTATGCTGGTTTTGGCACATGGACAATCACATACCCATTACTATGATAGGTAAGACAGACCCAACTTGGCAATTTTTTTTTTTTTTTTTTTTTTTTTCCAAAACAGCAAGATAGCAAGAAACTATGACAACACTGAAAACAATTTCTTCCCTCCTATCCCTTCTTCTCTGGCACAACATCACTGCTTTGCTTCTGGATTTTCTTTATACTTCCTCCTCCTCTACAAGTAAAACACTTGGTTTCTGCTTCTCCTTCCTTCTCAGACTGTTCCAACATGCATCTTCCCAGCAGACCTCTGTTCTCCACTAGCTGCTGTAGCATAGCTGCCTTCCGTGGGGCGCAGTCCTTCTGGAACAGACTGCTCCAGCAGCCACAGTTCCCGACAGACTACACACTCCAGTGTGGGCTTCTCTCCACAGAAGCAGCAGCTAAAGACTCCAAAGGGAAGACTGTATAGAAAATAATAAACATCCTTACCGAGATCTTCCTTCCATGGGCTGTCTGTTAAGTATCTGGATGGGCCCTCTTGCACGAGAATGGATTTTGTCATCTACCATGTGCTTCAGCCGCTGATAATATGTAGGACCAATGAAGATCTGTGATGTGATTTTTCGCCCAGTGAAGCCATTGTAGAGGACCTAAAGCAGTCAATGCAATCACTGAACCATAAGCCTTACTGTCTGCCAAACGTATTAAAAATACAATGAATTGATGTTTTGGTTGTACCTCATTTCCTCTTAAATGATAACCATAATCTGATAGAAGATTGGAAATCTTCTGCACATTGACAGCATCATTAAATGGTGTAGCATCACCAATTTCTCCCTTATTTGCCGACACCTACAGAGAAAAGATTTGCAAAAGCTTGTCAGATTTCTCAGCATCAAGCAATACATTTCAAATAATTTTAGCTATAATTTTAATGCCAGAACTTGAGATTCCCTACCCATATAGTGCCGTATCTTCTTTAGTTATCAGCTACAAAATTTAGCTGAGGTTTTCAAAACTGGACAGTGTCAACAATTTTCTACTCCTTTTTCTAGGTTACAGGATACATTGGGAATAAAAGCAACAAATGATTTGCTGGACAAAATTTAGAAGATTGTAGGTCCTCCAAGAAACTTTTCTATTTGCCATTACGTAAATGGAGAACAACTGTTGTTGTTTTTTAACTGCATTAGCACTTACCACTTACGTGTATTTAATGCTTGCTTGTGTGTATTTACAAAAAAAAATATATATATATATATATATATACACGTATATTAACTCATATCCCTTAAAACATGCAGCATAAAACATTCTTCTTACCTTCCCCTGAAGACATTCAATCAAGTGACCAATGGTCATGCGGGAAGGGATGGCATGGGGGTTGATGATGATATCTGGTGTGATGCCTTCACAGGTGAAGGGCATGTCCTAGAGCACCAAAACAAGCAGTCAGTACTTCCAGCACACCAGCTTTACAAAAAGCAGTCCATAGATTCTAACTGTGTATTTCAAGGGCCCTGAGCTACCACTGTAAGGAACAGTAGCATCCCTTTCTGAACACATTCTACCCAAATTTAAATCCACATTTTGCACGCCAGTACATGTTCCATAGATTACTTACTCGCGTTGGTTTCAATGCTAAAAACACAGAGAAGATGAAATGCTAATAAAGTATTATCAAAAAAAAAAAAAAAAGGAATCACTACCTCTTGCCTGTACTGGATACCACAGGTTCCTTTCTGACCATGTCTGCTGGCAAATTTATCTCCTATTTGAGGGATTCTTACAGACCGTACCTATGAACCATAGGAAAACATTAAATGGGTAAATTAGATACAGAAAAAAGTTGTTAAGTAGAAAACACGTACAGGTTGGTGCTCACCCTGATCTTGCAGAATTTGTATCCTTCCTGGTTAAGGGTTACCATGACCTGATCTACAATACCAGTCTCGCTAGTTCGCAGAAAAGTGCTACAGTCTCTCTTGGTGAAGCGCCTGTTAGTGCTCTCCAGTTCATCTTCGTTTTCTGGCAGAGTTACTGTTTTGCCAATGATGACATCATCCCCAGACACACGTACTCCAGGTGCAATCAAACCATCGTCATCAAGTTTGTCATAGATTGCATGTCTCATACCTCAGGGGACAGAAAAAGTTAAAAATAGATTCCCAAGCTTTTCAACATCAAGACTTGGATGTTTTGTAGAAATTCAACCAGTCTGCTTACAGTTTTAGCCTGCCGATAATAAAATGTCTAAATATGAAGTGAACATCTCAGCTGATGCATTTTCCTATGAACACACATATTTCTGCTATTCAGTGTGTCTCAAAGATTGAATCAGCTCAACAGCAATCATCTCTACACAAATGTAAAATCAGTGAACTCAGTCTCCATACCCTGCTTTATCTTACCTTGGCAAGTCTCACGGGTAGGCTTCTCGAAAACTTCCTCTTGGTCATATCCTTTTTTGGACTCCTGCTCTTTGTAGGAGCGATAGAACACAGATCTGAAACAAAGACAGATACGTTCTCTGTGAAACCAGCATCATTTTCCCTCATCCGTACATGCCAGTTTCATTTAAAGCACCATTTTGCTAAGTGTTAAAGCTACTGTCACTGATAACAACCAAAACAATTCACATGCCACACAACCTTTCCTTTAAAGTATTGTTAATCTGACTGAAAAAAAAATCCACAACAAACATACACATAAATTTCAGATGGCATTTTAATGGTCACTTCTTAGACATTGCCAAAATACCTATAAAATAACATACTTTATTTTCAACTGGGGAGATGTTCCTATCTACAAAGCAGTTATTGCTCTTAAGGCCAATTCCCATCTTAGAATCAGAGAACCATTTGAGTTGGAAGGGACCTTTAAAGGTCATCTGGTCCAACTCCCCTGCAATGAACAGGGACACCTACAGCTACATCAGGGTGTTCAGAGCCCTTGATCTTCATCAAATCAATCTCCTATTATTACTATTATTACTATCTCCTATTATTACTATTACCTGTGCGACCTACTGTAGGGAACCTGCTTTGGCAGGGGGGTTGGACTCGATGATCTCTGGAGGTCCCTTCCAACCCCTACAATTCTGTGATTCTGTGATTCTATTACTTTTCTTCTTAACTCCACCCTTTTGCAAGCACTTTTACTTCTGCTATCTTGCAATGCTGAGTTTCAATGGAAATCTTTCCATTTATATAGACTTCTTTCTGGGCCCTTGAATATTTTTGCTATGCTGCTAGCACACTAAGACCACAACCTTTAAGAACAGTATCATTCACATCTAATTGCTCGCATGAACGCAGGAGATTCCTCCAACCACAAAAATCTAACAGTCTACATTAGAAGGTGCAAGACACTTAGTACACAAGTTTTAGGTTCAAAAAAAATGAATAAAAGCAGAATTCTGTTGACCAGTTAACGTTATACAGCTAAGCAGTCACCTAAAATCTAGCAATAATGCACAGTCACATCAGCCACCAGTTGTCTCAACAGCAGTTCCTAATAAGGAGAGGAACATGCCAATCCTCACTCATAGCAACTGCTGTGCTACTGAATACACCATTTTATTACAAAGCTACAATATTGTCATTAAGGAGTTCACATAACTGGCAACTCACAGAGCAAAAACTCAGAACATGTTTTTGTTTAACCAGCACAGACAGAACAAATAATATAAAAAACAAGACCAAAAGGGAAGAGCCAGGAATGCAGAGTCAAGCTACACAGAAGATGAACGATTACTGGCTGAGTTCTGCTAAGACACACATTCACCATTCCTCTGAATGTGAATTCTTCGGTCTGAAACTCCCTCCACCCCCATTTTTAAGGATACCTTGCAGTGCAAGACAAACTTTCCTTGAGCCTCTGGACAACTCACTATAGTACTTCATTCAATTTTCAAACAGATCAAAAATTTGAGAAATCACACCTGAAAAAGCCTCTGTCGACAGCAGAACGGTTCATGATGACAGAATCTTCCTGGTTATAGCCTGTATATGATGCAATGGCTACGATTGAATTGATACCTGTAATACATTGAGTGAATACTTTGAAAACATGAACACATATCAGACAGGCATTACTTACAACTAAAATAAGCCCGTCTCTTCACAGTGAACCTGCTCGACCCTTTCCTAAGATGTAATCTCCACATCCCATGTGAAAAGCCATGCTGTATCAGTAAATGCAACTCCGGGTACAAAGAGAGATTAAATTTGTCAACTCAGGAGTGACCTCATGTGGAGAACCCACACAGGAAACACATCCTTTCCAGTTTCCATTTAAGCCTACTATATGGAAAAGGAGTTCTAGCTGCAACGCTAGAAACACTGTAGACTAGGCACCAAGCCAACATTTAACCCAAAATTCCTTTTTAAATTGCATAAATTTGCTAAATATTTAGGTATGATGCATACATTTATGACAGTTTAAACTAAACATTAAACAAAAAGAATACTAACTATGAACTGACAACGTACCTGCTGGTAACTCTCTAAATCGCAAGTACTCCATGGAGCGTGTTGTTACAAGGGGCTTCTGAGGATAGTACAGAACATGGGCCAGTGTGTCCATACGAACATGGAAGTTTGTAATGTAGACTCCCATTGCCTGTTTACCCATAGCAGACTGGTACGTGTTCCTAGGAGACTAGACAGGCAAGGAAAGACAGCAACACAGACATTTATATATGCACATATGGCTCTTAATGCATATACCTGTGGGTTTCCTATCTATCTTATAAGCAAGATGGCAGAAGTGATGCACTGACCTGGTTGTGATCGGGGAAAGGAATAATAGATGCACACACTCCCAGGATCATGGATGGGTGAATCTCACAGTGGGTATATGTTGAACAATACGCAACACCTTTCTCCTGCAAGTCATCTGGAGTCATGGCCAGCATCACAGTCTCTTCTTCCAGTGTATCGATGTACTCTACTACACCACTGGCCACAAGGTCCTGCCAACTAATAATCAATGTTTGAAGTACTTAACATGCACATAAAATTGGTCACTTCAAGTAACAAGAACAAGGATTTCTCTGCCTTATAACTACAGCTGCATTAGTTGTATCAAAAGTGAATTAAGTTGCCACACAGCAAAAGCATCTTTGCACTGCTCAAAGCTTTAAACATTTTCTCCTTCAATTTAAAGGAACTTGCAGCTTCCCAGCTGGAAAATTAGATACTGACTTACATTTCAGAAATGTCTCTCACCTGTAATTGTTATACTCTCGTTCCTTCAGTTGGTCAATATGCCTTTTCTTCAACAGCAACTTCTGCTTCTCCACAATTAGAAGAGGTCGGCAAATTCTGCCTGCATCAGTATAGATGCGGATTTCCCGCTCACGAATATCCCTAATCATTGAGACCTGCACAACAAAGCAAAGTCTCAGCCTGCAATCAGAACTACAGAGTACAAAATAGGATAACAAAGTTCCCAAATTCAAAGGTTCTCCATGTGTTGCCAGCAGAACAGAACAAACATTAACACTCATACAAAAAAAAAGCATTTCAAGAGATAAATTTTTAAGTCTTTTCAATAAGCATTTTTTCAACTGGTTCCTCTTAACAAATGAACCAAAAAAAAAAAAAAAGGTGTGCAAACAATGCTGTTTAGAGTCTTCAAAGCAGTCCCAATATACTGCCCTCCCTCATCTCCAAAGATCCCCGAAGTCTTGAAGCTGTACCTCCGACACAATTATATCCATCTGACGACGGAGCTTCCTTAGGGTATTCATAAGCTGCTCTGGATCTTTGTGTATTCCTACCCAGCAGCCATTAACAAAAATCTTGGTAGCACTAGAAAGAGGGAAAAAAAAACAAAACAAAACCACAAAACCCTGAAGCACTGTGCAGGTAATAAAAGCCTTATATCTGTTTAAGTAATTTTGTTTGCACATACTCTGCAATAGCTGCTGGAGATATTTCTTCCAGATTTTCCATACTCCACTCTTCCAAGAATTCCAAAATTGGGGATGGCTGAGACCCCACAGAAATGTAAGCCATCAGGGCTAAGTTCTTGACAAGTCCTACTGCATGACCCTAGGAGAAACAGAAGATTTTGCATTTCCAAACCAAAAGACTCCCCATCTTCCAAATCAAGTCCAGAAAATTATTTCAAGCCCTCGAGGAACTGTACACAAAATATGCTAATAATCTGTGGTTTGTTTCTACCACTCAAATACAAAGTTAGCTATAAAGCTAAGTGTTCATGTCAGTATTTCAGGTGAAGTGCGGGTGATCGCTTCAATTGCCATGATCATAATCACAGAACCATTAAAGGTTGGAATGACGACTAAAATCATCTAACCCAGCCACAAAATGACCACCAGATAAAAGCAGTTGGGTACACAATAAGTAGTGATGAAAATACGATATTCATTACCTCGGGAGTCTCAGCTGGGCAAACCATTCCCCACAGCGTATTGTGCAGCTGCCTGGGCTTTGCTAGCTTTCCATCTCTACCAATTGGAGAATTCAGGCGTCTCAGATGGGAAAGTGTTGATGCAAAAGTCAGGCGGTTTAACACCTGAATGTAACAAGGAACTGGGTTAGGCAGAGCTTCTTCTCTGTGGTGTTCTGGCAGGTATCATGATACATTAGACAAAGCATCAACAGCTACCAGAAACAATGTATTTGAAAAGAACTAAAACTGTACCTGAGATACACCTGCTCTGGCCTGATGAGCTTTCTTCTGATCACCCCAGTTTCCAGTGGCCAATGAATATTTCAAACCATCAGAAATAATTCTCGTTTTAATTGCCAGCTCCAAGTTGAAATCCTTCCCTCTGTCAATAAACTTTTGTGCGTATATTCTCACTTCCTTCAGCAAATTCTTAAACATTCTGGAGAAGATGTCAAGAAATAAGATTAAACAGTACTGTATCAATTCAGCCTAATCAACGCAGAATGGGAAAAAAAAAGTCACCAGTCTTCTTAGCAGAAGTGGTATGTAACAAAGGGAAAAGGAGAAAAACAAAACAGCAAGCACCAAACTAATCTGCTTGAGAACATGCACAATACATGCTTCAAAATAAAGCCATGATCAGATATAAGCTGAGATGCCCCAGTCTGCCTATCAGCCTCAATAAATAGCCCGATCTATTTAGAAGCCCAGAACTGGCAATGACTCTTCTATTAATTATCTCCAAAGAATATATTATATATTTACCCTCTGAACAGAAAAGCCAGCAGTGGCCCAGCAAGATCCAGCCTTTTGTTGCCATAATGATCTCTGTCATCAAGTTCTCTTCTGCCCAGTGCAGCCAACAACAATCTATGAACCATATACCTAAAGAAATAAGTTCATATTTTAAACCATCAGCAGACATTCACAACAAAAAATACATGCCTTTATTAAATACATTAGTGAACTGTTTCCTAAAGGTTGTCCATTTTAGATTAAGTTAAAATACTGCTGCTCTAAGGCAGGTCACTTCAGCACTTGTGTCCTTAGAATTCAGTAACACGCTAAAATTTTAGATAACTGAAACAAAGTAAGTATTTACATCATGATGGCAATGCATCTTCTGCTACATGTGTGCCCTGGACAATAATACAGTCTGTGTTTAAGCTTGTGAGACTGTGAGCTCAACGTGGCATTTGAAGGAAAATGACAGGTCACCCAACGTTGTGATTTATCTGCGTAACAATAAGCAATGATTAAGAAGATGCTCCAAAGGTTTTAAAGAGTGGGCTTATATTACATACAACTTGTCAATAGTTATCGCTCCCTACAATTTAACTAGCAACCTCTGTATATTTTTCACCCAAAGAGATTTGAAAAGGAATACTTGATCATTATCACCACATCTTTGAATCCAGTGGTGTTGGGGGCTTTCATTCTCTAATTTTTCTCTAACTGTTTCTAATTCTCTAACTGTTTTATCATCGTTTGCATTTTCTCAGGTAGGAAAACAAACATCCTAAAATTCATCACCGAGTATCCAGAAGACTGAGGTTAAAACAAACTCCTATTCAGAGTGCTTTTCCAAACATGCACATCAGATCTGTCTTCAATGACCAACTGCAGGTGTGACAGCACACTTGAGAATATACCAACATACCCTAGAAAATAGGCCTTCTTGGTTTCACAGAAGTCACTGACACCAACGTGTGGAAGCATTTCTTTCTGCAGGACTTCCTTAGCGTACTTGATTCTCTTTTCCTTGGTGACGCCTGGCTTTGCACCTCTTGATCCAATGAAGTTCAGAGCAACATTTTGCTCCTGTATGACGAAGGCTTCATCCAGAGAAGGCTTAACCTAATGAACAAATTACAGCAAAACCGTGAAGCTCATGGCGCTCGCTGGGGTAGAAACTATGCAGGAGCTTGCTAACAATTCTTTTCAGGAACTGCTAATTACTGTTTTCTGGCTTTACTACAGCAGCTCTTTCAAAACATAACAGAGCATGTGGGAAGCACACAAAAATTAGTTAAGGCTTCAGACAATAGTTCTCATTCAAATATTTTCTAGGCCTGCTGCAGATTCAGACATAAATGGAGATTTTACAATTAAAGTCAAGGACAGCAGGATAAGAACCTGCCTCTTCAAGTATTCACTCGCTCTTTACAATTTCCACTGTGATTTGCTCACTCAAAACACTCATTGTAACGAGTAAAGCAGAAAGTTTTCCAGGCTTCTAATAGACAATAAATTAAACTGGAAAATGAACAAAATACTGACAAACTGGAAAATGAACAAAATAAGAGTAGCCACAGCTGAACATCGCATAATGTTAAGCTAGAAAATAAGTTATTTAACATCTTACCATTTCCATCATTTCTGGATCTTCAAAATCATAAATGATGTGCTCTAAAATGTCCCTGTCAGACACAAACCCTAGTGCACGAAAGACAATTATGATTGGCACTTCTTGTTTGATATATGGCAATGTTGCTACAATGCGCTGACCAATAGCACTCTTCTTTGCACCCTAAAAAGACAGGGTATAATATATGTTAGTCTAAAACAATTTAGCCTTTAAATAAAACACTCTCTCTGAACTCGGATGATGTATTGCAAATGCATTTATTCAAGCACTACAGGAAAACAGGACTTCTCAGTAGACTATGAAGCTATTCCAATACTTTATGCAAGTGACTATTCTTTTTAAAAAACTGTTTACAACCTCAGAAGCCTGAAGAACTTGAATGTTCTTCCTCATACAGAAGAATACCATTTGTTCATCCGTATGTATCATTTTCTTCCAATTCATACTCAATTTTCCTTACATCAGCTTAAATCCAGCTTAGAAAAGCTGTGCAACTCTCCATTTTTATGATTACTCAAGTAAGTGCTCCCTCCTCCTCAGAAAGGTTCAGGTATTTCAGGACACAGAGGGACAACCACTGAGGAGTGCCCCTCCCCCCAATGAAGTGGTGTAAGGATTCTGTTAAAGCTGCTCTTTGAATGCTTGGAGATTTCTCTGCAGTCAGTGCAGTGGAAAACGAGTACCAACACTTCCTGCTTTTGAACTTAAGAACAGCACCTATTCCCCCACACAAGTCTGATCTGGCACTGGGAAATCACTGCACGATGCCTGGACACAATTATTTTAAGTATGAATTAATACATGAGCTGCGAAACACATCTGAAACTTCTGTCTTTGGCAAAGACAGGGTCTGTGTCCTTATTGTCTTTTGTCAAAAAGCAGAAATGTGTTTGGATATCCTAAAGGCTCATCTATAGTAATTGGTTCTAAGACTTTTAACTCCACCTTACTGTGGCACAAAGAGAGCCATCCCCAAGTTATTCATCCCAGAGACAGGCATTAATCTATGACATAACAGAACACGTTTTCATGTAATTTCACCTTCTCACAATTTACTATCAGAAGAAAATCCTTTTCAAAACTGCAAAGTAAATGACATGAAGACACAGGACAGGATCAAAACCTGCAAAAACAACCTTCAATGCAAGGCCCAGCAAGGGGATTATTACTGCTGAGACATACCTGCCCACCTCTGGCTAGCATGCTAACCCATATAGTACTTGTTGGTCGAGAGGAATTTTCCAGACAAGATCTACACTCTCCTGTGTAGGCGTATTTGGAATCTTTTTTTGCAAACACATATACTGTGTTTGTAGCCATTTTCTCTTGAGCAATCAGAACCTGTGTAGAGACAAGAACACAAAAGGACACATGATAATAACAAGCACAAGGTTTCTCTATAGAATCATAGAAACATGTAATAGCTTGGGTTGGAAAGGGCCTTAAAGATCACCTATTTCCATGTGCAGGGTTGCCACCTGCTAGAACAGGCACCAGCTCAGGCTGCCCAGGGCCACATCCAGCCTGGTCTTGAGTGCCTCTAGGGATGCGGCACCCACAGCCTCTATGGGCAGCTGTGCCAGCATCCTACTGCCCTCTCAGTAAATAATTTCCTTCTAACATATAACCTACATCTCCTCTTTTAGTTTAAACCCATTCCCCCTTGCCCTATTGCTAGGAAACCATGTAAAAAGTCTGTCTCTCTCCTGATTATAAGCTCTTCACAGCATGAAGTCAATTTGCCAAACTCAGTTGGATTAGACTCCACGTTTTCAAAGCTCAGCATTAAGCAAAACTTATGCCTTGTTAATATAGAATAACCAAAATAAAAAGACTCAGAGAACACTTTTCTGAGACGCACTCACCACATCTGCTTAAGCATGCTGAGAACTTGGCGTTAATTTTAGCCACAATACTGATAAAGGAAGCATGTCATTATCTGTTTCCAAGGTCAATGAACTAAACCGTGCAAATAAATTCTAATGCCAGCTCTGATAGTAAAAGCTAGATTTTTTTTGCCTCCAAGAACAAACACTATTTTTTCTTTTCTTTTGCCATATTTGTCCAGGTGTCAAGTAACAACTGTCAAGTCAGTTTCATCGCTGAGGCACAAGCATATGGAGAGGACATGCTCTGCTAAAGCTGAATGAGGAGCAACAGAGGGAAGAAAGAAACAGGATAAGCCTAACCTTGTTATAAAATGCATCTATACAGCTGTGAACAACCCAGAGGAGACTGCTAAGGAAGAAATACCCTCCTCCTACACTTCATTATGTTTTCAAGTGTGTGATGCTCTGCAATGTAGGAAAAAATAATGGACCTAGAAGAAGAAAAGGTGGTTCACAAAGTCCTAGCAAAAGATTAAGTTAACCTTTCTCCAAGATTAGGACTACCTGCAGTAATTAAAATGTTTATATTCCCGGCAAAAGAATTGGAAATAAGTAACAGAATTTCCAGTGCCAGTAAAGACAACTATGCGAAGTATCATCCCTTACCTTTTCTGATCCATTAATGATAAAATAGCCACCCGGATCCAGAGGGCATTCGTTCAGTTCACAGAGATCACGGTCAGTTAAGCCATTTAACAAACAGTACGTTGATCGTAACATAATAGGAATTTTTCCTATAAAAGTTTTCTGATGTTGTGTCTGTAACTGATCCTCTCCTTCTTTAATAACTGTTTTAGTTATGTCCACGTATAAGGGGGCTGAATACCTACAGGAAAAAAATACCATTGTGTTGTTTATCAGTTACTACTCCAGCCTTTGCAGAAAGCTGACAAATGTAATTATTCTACTCACTGGTAGTATGGAGCATTATTATCAAATCATCTGGATTTAACGATTAGACATTGTAATAAGAGCAGTAATGATTACATTGTCAAAATGACTAAATAAAAAAAGACTATCAGTTAGTAACACAGAACCAGTCCTTCCTTGTATTTTAACCATCACAGAGATGTTTCTTACGTAAGGTTTCTCAGCCTGGCTTCATTGGGCATCATAGGTGACGGTGCTCCATCTCTTTCCCAATGCGTAGGTTTGGAGAGATAGATTTGTTCAAACTTCAGGAGATACCGGGGCTGGAAAACAAGACATTTATCTGCAATAGCCAAACCATCCATCTTCATCCATCTTAGTTATTCAGGAGCAGCCCTTGAGCTTAATACCCAGTGCTGCTGCATGCCCTCAGCTCAGGGCATGGAAACAATCCCCCTTCAGATGGCTAGCTGAGCAAATCATACAATCAATCCTTGGAGTTGGAAGGGACCTTTAAAGGCCACACAGTCCAGCTCTCCTGCAATGGACAGGGACACCACAGCTAAATCAGGTTGTCCAGGACCTGATACAGTCTTGCCTTGAGAATCTCCAGGGACAGAGCATCAACCACATCTCTGGGCAGCCTGTTCCAGTGCCAATCACTCAAGAACTTTTGATAATTTCTAGGCACCTCATTAATAAAAAACACATAGAGGTAACTGAAGGGTCAAAACCATTGGTTAGAGTTAAGGTACCCATACAACGTTGGGTATAAGGTACCCAAACAACATTGTCTTCCTGTAAAACAGCTAACTAACTCAAAATCTACTAAGTCAGAGGGAGTACATTAATAAACAGCATATGCCCAGTATATATTTATTGTTGACTTAGCTTTAGACAAAACTGCTAAGTATACAATAAAAAAGGCAAATTTACTTCAACGCAAACAATAGGCTGACACATCAAAAAGGTGTGAGTCTTTGTGCAGCCTTACTCCTATGCATATTGTATTACATGTAATCATTTTCAGTTCCACAGAAATACTTTCACAGTAAAGCATTAAAAAAAAAAGCCAAGAAAAGACAGGTACCTATCAGCAATAGAGAAATTCTCAGGATGTTTGCTTTGCTCTGAGAGCCAATCATCCCTAAAATTCCCACTGCAATGAGATTTTAGAGCTGCACTGTTCTCAAAGCATTCCTTCACCAACTAAAATTTAAGGGTATAGAAACATTAACAAATCATTCTACCAGAACATAAACAAGTTGAAAGACCCTCTACCTTGAATCACCTTTCTTTGAGTTCCTGTTTCACACTGTGACCACTTGCAGAGCAGAAACTAAGCCAAATAAATAACAGTGCTGCCACCTCACCATCTAGAAGCCCACTGAGAATATCTATTACTAAAGCAAAACTTGAGTTCCATGCAGTCATCTAACTGTACCTGAGCCGTAAGGATTCTGCAGTAGCACACCACCAGAGCTACATTTGCTCTAGCAAAACTAGATCTCAATTCTCACCCAAACAAACACTTTTTTCCTGGATTTGCAACAGTAGCTGTGCAAAATAACTTCCACAAGTTCTCATATAAGCACACAGGACACACATTTACTGTAATTCCCATCTCTCAGCATGGTTGTAAAACACTTTAATGTGCTATAAAACATACTGCCTGAGCTGCACTCAAAATGCAAGGCTGAACATGGAGGGAAGGAGAAACAAGAAGTCACCTCAGATTAATCCAATCATACTCAGTTTCCTTAAATTAATCCAGCGTTCTCCAATTAGGCAAGAGATCGACAACAAGTAAAACCGAAGGAAAAACCAAGCTTTCTTTTTCTCACGTTTAGGCCATACTCTTAAAACTTTAATTGGATTAATAAAAGCAAGAAACAGACCATCGAGTCAAATACTACATTTTGGGCAAAGTTAGGCACATAATACGCTGGAGATCCATACATAATTGCATACAGCTCATACAGCATCTGCAGAACTGCACAGCTAGGGAATGTAGACATAACATACACAGAGTAACAGAGGAAATATTAAGAGAAATTACAGCGAGATTGTCATGGTTCTATGTTTTTTTCTTTGTTTTTGGGTTTCAGTATTCCACATCAAAACATCATGTAGTGTACTGGGTATTAAAGTGTCACTGCCCCAATCCCAAGTACCTATCCCTGTACATTACAGAAATCACGGGGTCTGGCCCTTCCGGGTGGGGGGGGCACTCTCTTGCTGCCTGGCAGTGGGTGCTGGAGGTGCTTTCCTAGCCGTTCCAAGCTTTTCAGGTTTGAATCAGTCCTGGGAACTCTCTCTCTCTCATCTTGTCTGATTTATTAATCTCAATTTCAATTAAATTATATTATATTGTGTTATCTTGTATTCCGATATTATAGTAAAATAAGTTTTCCTCCATAGATTGTTGCCGCTGCTCTTTTCCTCCCTTCCCATTTTTTTGTGGGACTGGGGTGGGGGGGGAGGGCAGAGGCCTGTCACAGACATAGATTGATCTGGTCAACTCCGTGACAGAGATAAACATTTATAAATGTTTATCTACCCAAGAATGAACACAATATCAAATGGAGGAACTAAAAGAAATCTCAGTTACTCTCTCTAAGTAATGCTTGCAAACAAAAATAAATGGAAAGGAATAGTCAAAACACGTAACAGATGTGACTCTCTGAACTCCTAAAGTTCCCTTAAATCTCAACAAGGAAGCAGTAAAGTTGAGTAACTGGATGATCACTTTTGGCAAGTGCAGAACAGGGACCGCACCATATGGGGGGCATCACAGTCAACAGAAGTACCACAATCAATGCAGAACATGCACTGTAACCTCACACACTTCATGAAGAGTCCTCACAAAGAAGAGACATTAGATAATTTGGAGCATGGTACCAATGGAAGATGATAAGGGCTCCATTAGAAAACCCAGACATAACTTCTTTAGCCTTAAGCCTTTTCCGCCCTGGTAAAGCTACCAAAACCAAAATCCCACCAAAACTCGGTTTTATTTTGGCTAGCTGGCTTGCTCCACTAAACCCTTGTTGGTGAGGCCTGCTCCCATCCTGAGTGGTGTTACTCAGTTACCTTACAGAATCCAAACAGTTCACACTTCTATCTGAGTAAGGACACAGCCAGGAGGACAGATGTACTTCAGTCTCCCAAGACAGAGGTCAAATAACACCCACCTACGCAAGGTGAAATCATTTTGCTTATGAAAACCAATCACCTCTACTCACCGGTTCTTCCACTTCTCCTGTGGCATGCTGGGCTTCTGCTTGTAAATCAATTGGTGGAGCATCTTCAACAATTCTCTGCACAGACATCTGAATAAACTCATCAAAAGAATCCAACTGTTGCCTGACTAAACCTTTTTCATCAAAATAGGAGCTACAGGAAAAAAAAAAAACCACATTAACAAGATACCTTAATTTAATTAATGTATTTTGCCTGCAAACTTAAGATACACTTATTACAAAATCTTCAAAAGCTCTGAAATACAGTAAGAAAACACTTTTCGCCTGAGGCACAGGTTTCATGTGTAGATGCTCAAAAAAGTAAACTCAATTCTCATTGGTGTTTGAAGACACACTGCAAAGTGACAGACTTGCTGCCACCTCCTGGCTGAGCCGTGTATTCACCCTACCTTAAATTCAAAAGGAAACATCACAAACCTCATGAAAGATTCTCAACAAGAGATGTAAATGACTTTACTTCAATGTATTTTCTAAGCTGCAGTAAACTGAGTGCCTGCAATTGCAGCCTCCTAATTCTCAGAACTTTCCCCATCCCAGGAGGTGCCCAGGGCCAGGTTGGATGGGGCCCTGGGGCAGCCTGATCCAGTGGGGAGCAACCAGCCTGCAGCAGGGGGTTAGGGCTGGGTGGGCTTTAGGGGTCCTTCCAACCTAAGCCAAGTTCCTTAGCTTGGATACCCTCTATTCCAGCCACACAGATTCCCAGCTTCACTTCTTCTCTATATTTTCCCTAGCTTTTGCGTGATCTAGACACAACCCAACACATCCCAGTTATGAAACCTAAGCCAACATTCCAAGCTCTGCATTCTCATTTTTAACAGGATGACCTGAACACATAGGCTCTGTGCCACAGAGCCCTGAAACCACTTGGAGATCTCATGCTACCTTGGCTTTGCTGCTCTCTACCGCCACTGCACATAGGGAAAGACTTCTGTTTAGAAGAGAAACACTTTTGCTTATGGTGCCCACTTCTTAACAGCATGAGAAGCCACAGGGCCTGGCTGCTGGTGTTCTGCTGGGAAAGCACTGGCCTGGTAGCACAGCTGCTTCCAGTCTCCTCAAACGTGACAGCAATGAGCAACATCACATGTATGGCATGGAATCAGAATCACTTCTTACTTAGAATCATTGAATCATTCAAGTTGGAAAAAAACCACTAGCATTAGCTAATCCAATCTCCTACCCATCCCACCGTGTCCCTCAGCACCACATCTCCAAGGATGGTGACTACACCACCTCCCTGAGCAGCCTGTGCCACTGCATCAGAATCACAGAAATAAAGTTTGAGTTGGAAGGGACCCTCAAAGGTCATACAGTCCAACTCTCCTAAAAGAAATAAGGACACCTACAGCCACATCAGGGTGCTCAGACCCCCCTGTATGTCTCCAGGGACAGGATTTCCACCACCTCTCTAGGCAACTCGTTCTGGTGCCTCATCACTCTTACTCTAAAAAACTTCCTCCTTACATGCAATTTCCCCTCTTTTAGTTTAAAACCATTTTCCCTTGTCTTATCACAACAGAACTTGCTAAAGTGTCTATGTCCTTTCTTACAACCCTCCGGAAAGGCTGCTCTTAGGTCTCACTGGAGCTTTCTCTTTTCCAGGCTGAACAGCCCCAGCACTCTTAGCTTGTCCTTAGAGAAAACGGGTTCCATCCCTTGGATCGCTTTTATGGCCCTCCTCTGAACATGCTGCAACAGGTCTTCATCTCTCCTGTACTGAGAACTCCACATCCAGGTGAGGTCTCATGAGCACTGATTAGCAGGCAAGATCACCTCCCCCACCTTGCTGGCCACACTTCTTTTGATGCAGCCCAGGACGCAGCTGGCTTTCTCAGCTGCAAGGGCACGTTACTGATTGAAGGCCAACTTGCCATCCACCAGTTTGTACTGACAGTGGGTGTTGCCACAACCCAGGTGCAAGACCTTGCACTAGGTTTTGTTCATCTGGGCCACTCTTTCTGAGAAGTGTTTCTTAATACCCAATCTGAAAATCTCCTGGCAAAATGTAAGGCTGTTCCCAAGAAGAAGAGTCCAACCCTCACCTTGCCACAACCTCCTTTCAGGCAGCTGCAGGAGCCATAAGGTCTCCCCTGAGCCTCTACTTCTCCAGGCTGAACAACCCCAGCTCCCTCAGCCGCTCCCATAAGACCTGTGCTCCAGGCTCAGCTCTGTTGCCCTTCTCTGGACACACTGCAGGCCCGATGTAGTGAGGGGCCCGCAACTGAGCTCAGTAATGGAGATGCGGCCTCACCAGGGCTGCGTCCAGAGGGCCGACCACCTCCTGCCGGCTGGACTGCTGTTGCTACCAGGCCGTAAGCCTCGCCAACCAGGGTGCTGCTAACCCAAACAACGACCCTGCAGCCCAGCTGGTCGCACCTCCACTCCCCAGAGGCCGAAACACGCGGCCTAGCCTAGCAAAGCCCGCGGCCTCCGTACGCCGCGCCGTACCCGTCCCACCGGCACAGCGAGCGGGGCATTACCTAATGACAATCCAGCACGCCTCCTGCCACAGGTCGGGGGTGATCTCGTCGTCGTCTTCATCGTATTGCATATCTGCGGGGGAAGCAGGAACGGGTCAGGCCGCGGCCGCCACACCAGGGCCACCCGCAGAAAGCCACGTGCCGCAAGGGAGCGGCCCGGCAGGAGATAGCCGCCGTGCCCTCACCTTCGTCCGCGTCGTACATGGTGACGGCAAGGAGGGAGCCACGAGCGGCCGGGACAGGAGAGAAAGAAGCCGAGGATCCGCCACCGAGCGCCCGCGGAGCGGTGGCGGCAGGAAGGCGGGCGGCAGGAAGAAGGAGGAGCGCACATGCGCGGGGCCGAGCCTCGCCACTCCCCTTCCTGCGGGCTGCGTCGCGCTGCCGGCCATGCTCCGCTTGGGCCGTGTGCTGCTAGGCCGCCTGTACCCAGCCCGGCCCTGGGCGGCGCGGCGCGGAGCGGCGGCGTGGGGCGAGGAGGAGCGCTTCGTCTTCCTCGAGTACGAGCCGGAACCGCCGCCGCCCGCCGCTGCGGCGAGGAGCAGAGCGGCCGCGCGGAGCCGGGCGGCGGGCGCGGACGGCGCACCGGGGGGACGACGGGTGCGGAGGGCGGCCGACCCGTCGGTACCGCCGAGCGGCGTGGGCTGCTCGGGCTGCGGGGCCGAGCTGCAATGCCGCGACGCCGCAGCGCCGGGCTTCGTTCCGGCCGACAAGTACCGCGGCCTCTGCGCGGGGCCGGGCGGCGCGGCCGGGCTGCGGAACGCCGTGTGCCAGCGGTGCTGGGTGCTGGCGCACGGCGGCGAGGCAGTGCGTCTGGAGCTGCCGCCCGAGCGGCACCGCGCCGTGCTGAGCGCCGCGCTCCGCAGCCCCCCTCGGCACGGCCGCGGCCCGCTGCTCCTCTACCTGCTGGACGTGCTGGAGCTGCCCGACCCCGTGTTACCGCAGCTGCCCGCGCTGCTCAGCCCCGAGGTGCCCGCCGCGGGGCTGCTGGTGGTGGGCAACAAGGTGGACCTGCTGCCGGCTGATTCCCCCGGGCACCTGCGGCGGCTGCGGCAGAGAGTGACGGCTGCCTGCCTGCAGGCCGGCATCTCCCGAGCGCAGCTGGTGGATGTCCGACTGGTGAGCGCCAAGACGGGCTTCGGGATGGAGGGGCTGGTCAGCCGGCTGCAGCGCTCCTGGAAGTGCGCCGGCGACGTCTACCTGCTGGGGGCCACCAACTCGGGCAAGTCGACGCTCTTCAACACCCTGCTGCTCTCTGACTACTGCAAGTCGCGTGCCCCCGACGTGGTTGGCAGGGCCACTGTCTCAGCCTGGCCAGGTGAGGGGCACCACTGCCGTCCCTACCTATGTCACACTCGGGCCATCAGCTCTGCTGTGCCACCAGGCCAGTCACCGAAAGGGCCCGAGGCATCACCACTGAGCTCCAGTGCACAGTGGCTGCCGGCTGCACTGCTGTTGCTACCAGGCCGTAAGCCTTGCCAACCAGGGTGCTGCTAACCCAAACAACGATGTACCATGTTTAGAATCCTCCCCTTCCCTGTGTTGTCCTTGGAGGCCTTGCGGCACCAAGGCCTCAGAGCACTGAGGGATATAGACAGCAAACTACACGGGTTGGCATCTCCCTGTAAATCTTGTATCCAGAGAAGGGCAACGAAGCTGTGACAGTTCTGGAGCACAAGTCTTATGGGGAGCAGCTGAGGGAGCTGGAGTTGTGCAGTCTGCAGAAGAGGAGGCTCAGGGGAAGCCATTTGGCTCTATGCAACTGCCTGAAAGGAGGTTGAGGCAAGGTGGGAGTCAGCCTCGTCTAGGAAACAGGGATAGCACAAGAGGAAGCATCTTTAATTTGCACCAGAAGAGGCGCAGGTTGGATATTAGGAAACATCATTTCTCTGAGGAGGTAGTAGTGCACTAGAACAGGCTGCCCAGGGAGGTGGTGGAGTCCCAGGAGGTGTTGAAAAAGTGTGGAGATGTGATAGAGAAGGAAGTGGTTAGTAGATATGGTGAGGATGGGCTGAGGTTGGATTGGATGGAAGAGGTCTTTTTTAACTATAACTATTCTTTGATTCTATAACAAGAGGTGGACTCATGAGCTCCTTGTAGAGCAATCACAGCAAAACCAGGGACTTTGTTGAGGTGTCTTAGGTTGGTCTTAAGTGCCATAGATTGTGAAGCCCGCTGCTCTTACAGTAGCAATTTCGATGTTCAGTCCCGATCAAATAGAGTTGTCAGCATCATGTTGGTCAGTAAATCCCCTTGTTTGCTCATTGTAATACAATGTTCCAATATATACAGTAAAATATGATTTTTAATCATCTTTTTCACCCAAATGCTGCTGGTTTTATTCCAGTCCCTTATATTCATAGAAATGTGCCCTAGGGTCGCAAGACTTTGCTGCTCAGGTGTTAGACAGACCTTCCAAAAATGTACTGGGCAGTTGTGCAGAATCAGCTCAGATGACCCATGTGCCAGCATTAGCATGATTTTAATTAGCATGAGGCTGTTCCTTTGAGAAGCCTTTCAGCAAGAAAGCAGATACCTAGTGGGTGGTAGCACACTTCAGCCACTCCGGCTGGGAGGGAGACTTTAAGTGGAGCAGATGTTGACACTTAGTTCCAACTTTTTGTTACATAGTTCCACCTATTTTTTTATTTCTGTTCCTCAGAGTTTAAATATGACCCGTACCCAGAGGTCTGGATGTGTCATCTTTTTTTTTTTTTTTCTTCCAGGAACAACGCTGAACTTGTTGAAATTTCCAATTATTAACCCAACGTGTGACAGGATATTCAGAAGGCAGGAGAGGCTGAAAGAAGAGGCACTAAAAACAGAAGACCAGCTAAGCGATGAAGAAAAAAAGCACCTCAATCGCCTTAAAAAGCAAGGTTACTTAGTGGGTGAGTATTGTCTGAGTAAAAGGTGATGGAATGTCCTGGTTGAAATGCTGCATTACACAAGGACTGTTAACCCCCTAGTTTTCTGAAGAATGCATCTCATTTTGGCAAGCAATTTCTACCCACTCTGTAAGAACTCGCTTTCATTTAATTGTGAGAGGAACATGCTGTCTATATATGGTCCTTGCTAAAGTTTTGGGGCTTAAGGAGTTCTATAGATCCCTTATAGGAAGGATCTGTTAGCATCTTGGCTTTTGAACATGCGTGCAATGTTTTTATCACCTTTCTATCACAGCCATGCATCCCTAATAATCAAGGGAAGGGACAGGTGTCCAACTGGAGGAAATGCAAGTTAATAAATGAATGAACAGGAAACCTTTCACTTTAATCCAGGAAGAGTTGGAAGAACATTTAAACGCCGGGAGAGCTCTGTGGTTGATTTTGACCCTGACGTGCTGTCATACAGCATAGATGAAGATCCATGCCCTATCTCTAAGAAGCATGAGGAAAGAGAAGAGTTCACATACAACGAAGTGAAGGATGCTCGCTGGTGTTTTGATACTCCAGGGATTGTAAAGGAAAACTGTGTAGGTATTCTGTGGCACTGTGCTTCAAGAGGTCAGGGTCCACTGTGTTTTTGCTGTTTTATTTCTGAATGGTGCATACTGTGATCTCTGTTAAGGAACTGTATGTCAGCACACTTTATAATGCAGAGAAGTACAGGACTGTTAAAACAAGTTTATACCAGTATCACCCAGAGAAATCTGTACTTCTTTAGCTGTGCCACCCTACTGAAAAAGGTGGAGCTTAGGAAGATAACTGGTGTCAGAACTTACCTAGAAGATGTCTGCAAGATCATCTCTAACTCACTTTGTGCCACTTTGCTCTCTAATAGCTAGTGTCTGGTGTGAAGGTACCTTAGAGCTCTAACTGGAAACTGAGCACAGTCTTCCTTCTTCTGAAGTTGAATAATCATGGAAAACAGTGTGATCTGACTGTACAATTTATTTTTCAGGTTTTGAATCTCCTAACAGAGAAAGAAGTAAAGCTGGTTTTGCCAACACAAGCCATCATTCCACGGACCTTCATTCTCAAGCCAGGAATGGTCTTGTTTTTAGCAGCTTTAGGGCGCATAGACTACTTACAGGTAGGCAAAATAAGGAGTTTTGGTAGCAGCAGCTTCATCTTGGTATAGGACCAAACAATAAAAGATAGTCCAGGTAACTTCCACCTCCTTTTTTTTTTACTGCTTTCAAGATGATCATTCTGTTAATAAAGCACTGCGTAAAGTAAAAATGCCTTGGGATGGAGAGTGGTGATACTTGTTACCAGTGTGCAGCATTTTATATTGTAAAACCGTAAGTGCTTTTAAATGCTGATAAACACTTTCACCTTGAAGGGCTTTCCATGCAGAAGCTGCTCTGCACTGACAGAGGCAAGATGTCGGGAAAAGACAGGTTTTCAACATACAGCAAGGAAATGGAGCAAGAGAGAGCAGTTTGAGGTTGCTTTTCTGTTAGCATGAATGATGTGCACTTTGTTTTATTTCAGGGAGAAAAACCTGCCTGGTTTTCTGTTGTGGCTTCTAAGCTGTTGCCAGTCCACATTACTACCTTGAGCAGCGCAGATGTCATGTATGAGAAGCACGCTGGCCAAGAGTTCTTTAAGGTAAGAGAAGCAGGTGCTGTCATGAGCTTTTGGTAGACTGTCCCACCTGGTGATACATCCCTACCTTTTTATTATTTTGACTTTACTATTGCCACAGACTGGCATAGTACATCTAGACTGGGGACAGGGTAAGTTGTCCTTGTCCTGGCAGCAACTTTCCTGCACACATTGAGTGTACATATAAGTGACGTAACCCACAAGAAGGCAGCTGGCTTGAGCCAACAGCTGGTTCATGTAGCACACACTCCATCTTTGCTCACTCCTGAGCTGTGGGCTTCACTGGGCTGGGTTGCTCTGGATGTGATCCCAATTCTGCTCTTTGCAAATTGGAAGTAGCTCCTCTAAGGATATACAAACCAGCTCTTTGTTATTTGGATAACAAAAGTTTAATATCTCTGTGCATTGCTCTTCAGTGTAACGTAGGAGTACTGAAGCATCTCTAACTGCTAAATCTTTTATTGTTTTGACGTTAGGTTCCAATGGGTGGGAAAGAGCGAATGAAAGAGTTCCCCCCACTTGTCCCTCAGGACATTACACTGAAAGGAACTGGTACCAGTGAGGCAGTTGCAGATATCAAACTTTCCTCTACAGGTAATTTAACATTTCTTTGTGTGAGAACCCTTGTTCTGATATGAGCAACTCTTCCTACTGACTGTGTTCTTGTTTTTTTTACTTTGCTCTGCAGGCTGGGTGGCAGTGACAGCTTATGCAGGAGAGGAACTGTTGCTCCGAGCCTATACGCCCAGGGGCACCACAGTGGTGGTACGGGAGCCTCCCCTTTTACCATATATCAGTAACATCAGAGGGGCCCGGATCCCAGGTACTGCGGCCTACAGAACCAAAAAGCCTCCGTCTCTTGTAGAAAACCTGAGAACTGTGGGGAACAGATAGCACTCACCATCATCTGAGCAAGACAGGATTCAGAACCTTGATGCTTGTTGACACTCAGGAGAGCTTAGACTCATCTAAAAGGCAGACAGGCACAGTTTCAAGGGAGGTCTGGGCGAGATAAATCTGATTTAAGGCACCACAAGTCTAATGTAATTATTGAGCTGCAGCTAGTTCAAGCAAGCTGAATGGCTGGTACCTTGCTCTGTGAGGTGAAATGTTCTTTTCCCTGAGATCAGGCGCTGCCAGTGAGCAACCATCTTTCCCAGTTTACTCTTGAGATACAGCACGGAAGCTGAGCTGCCTGCCCTTGGCTGACTTTGCTGCTCAGAGAGTAGGTCTTTTCCTGCAGACATGCTCTCACAGGTCAGAAACCATCACCTGGTTCTTGGAGCCTTCATGTTGTTTCCAAAGCAGAAGGTAGAAGTGGGGAGAGGAGCAGGGAGTTCTCTGGTGTGGGTATTACATTCCCAGGAGCTTGCAGTTATTCAACATTATTGACCAAAAATTAGGTCCCCTCAGTATCTGAAGCATTGCCCTACATCTGGACACAGGAAAAAGAAATTAAAGAAAAGCAGGCCTGCTCAAGTGCCTGACAAAGAAACTTGCAGCTCACTGCTTTGGTTTGGTTTCTGTAGCTTGTGTAAAAGTTTCTGAAACTGAGGATGTACAGTAAAAAAAAAAACTTCTCAAGACTCCTTTGTCTTCTTCTGAAATCACCAGAAAAGCACTCGTGTGGGCTTGCATCTTGCAAACTACACAACAGCACTAGCAACATGGCCTGTATTAGAGGAAAACATACCATGCCACATCTGGCAGCCAAAGAGGAGTAAGACTACTGCAGTTCCAAGCTGCCAGGTCCAACCACAGGAGCAGCTCAAGTTTCCAGCTGGCATGTGCACACAGCAGACAGGTACACAGCTAGTCACACAGACTGCAAGCACAACAGTCAGGTGAACACAGACAACACAAGCAGTCTCATCCTGCTTTCCTCTTTGGTTGATCAGAATAGAGGTCTGGGGAAGAGAAAACACCCACCTTGCTACAGCCTGCCTTAAGGTACTTACAGAGAGCTGAGGTCTCTCCTCAGGCTTCTCTCTAGACCAAACAGCACCAGTTCCCCCAGCCACTCTGGTTTTCTGGTTCCTTCACTGTTTTTTTCCCCTCTCTCCTCCACCCACACTCAAGCAATTCAAGACCCTTCTCATAGTGTGGGTCCTAGAACTGAGCACAGTACACAGAAGTGCAGTCTCGCCAGAGCTAAGTACAGAGGGGAAAATCACCACCCCAGTTCTGCTGGCCACACCATTTCCATTAAGTGTTCTGAGAGAAGACAGCAGAAAACACTGCTTCAGCTAGCATCTCATTTTTTGTGAAGGATATACTCAGCAGTCCTGAAGAAGTGGACATAGAAATAGTCACGGCTCTACCAGTAAAACTGGGAATCAGGAAAAGGGTCTAGACATGGCCTGTTCAAACTAGCTTGATAAATAAAAGCAGGCGTCTCCTACAGCATTCCTGTAATGCTGTAACTGTGGAAAAGACAATATAAAATGCAAACAATACCAAATGCAGGAAGAGTAACTGGAATGCCTTCCTTTGTGACAGCATTAGTCCCCAGCCCAGGAGTCAGCCATGAAAAATTGCAGGCAAGACAATGTGCGCAGGGACCTGTATAGCAGGTCCCCTGATTTTTGGAAACACAGCCTTTTTCACAAAGATCAGTAGCCAATGCTGAAATTGTATTCAGGAGAAAGGGCTTCCTGCCTGAAACATGAGGATGTGCAGGGAAGAATGTGCCTCCCATGCTGTGTCCTTTTGTGTTCAGCAAGATATGCAAGTGGGGCAGCTGGGCCAGCAGGGCCAGCACAAGAACTGGAGTTACACAGGTGTTTTAAGTGCTTTTGCAAAGCCTACTCTGTATCTACTGACTCCTCAGGCCATAAGAGCAGACAACTAGCAACAGCCACAGCTAGGAACAACAATAACAAAAAAATGTGTGCTCCAGCCAGATGCAAAACCTCAGCACGTAGGAGGTTTTAATATGGAAGCAATTAGTGCTTAGATTAAAGCACAGAAATACCTTTTATGAGTTCTGAGCTTCTCCAAGTTGGTGTCTATTTCACACTTGCGCTGGACAGCCTGAGAGGCAAGACATTTTTTAACATCTATGGACAAGAGCTAATTTAATCTCAAACCACATTTGCTTTTGGCTCCTCTGTTGAGTCTGTGTGTAAAAATGAGGTGTAAAGACAGGACTGGGAGAGTTAAGCCTCCTGGGAAGGCCCAACCTTCATGGCTCAGTGTGCCCAGGCTGGGTGCAATTATGGATAGCTCTGTTAGAAAAGTGAGGAAAGCTGAAAAGTGCATATTCAGCAGAACAGCTCATTTGCTGGAGTACTGCAGGGAGCTCCCTGTCTTCCCCCAGCTGGAATGGGGGACTAGGGGATACCAAACCAGGCCAAGCAAAGGAGTATTGCATATTCCCACTGCCCTGCAAGCAGGGACATGATGCTGCAGCTGGGAGCCTGAGTTGATTTGCTTTGGCACGTGTCCCCCCCAAAAAGGAGGCTTTTTCTCTGCCCAGTAGCTATTCACTTTTCAGCACTGCTTATGTCAAGGACTCCTACCCTAGGAAAAGGGCTGCTGCTTTCTGTGGCAAAAGCAGAACAAATTCCATGCAGAGGTCACTTTTTACCCAGGTTACTTTTACCCATTGTTAGTGCTCCCAAAATGGCCTGTAATGCAAGAGTGGTGCACTGGGCCACAAGTTTCAAGCTTCTGCTTCTTACCCACTCAAGCATATGCTATGCTGAAAACTTGTGCTCCTGAAATCTATGTACCTCTAGGCTGTTCACCTTCTGATTTCCCATTTAAGGCTGCAGGTATCTGTGCCTGCACCTCTGGAGGTGGTCCTGGCTGCCTGGTCACCCACCCAGGGCATTGCCCACATCCCTGCCCATCGTCACCCTGAGATTGCTCACCACCTTTCCTCTTTTTGCCCCAGCTCTCCTTCAGCTCTTTGTGATGGAAACCCAATCACATACACAACTCATCTATCCCTTCACCTCCAACACAGCCCCTGCTGCAGGCAGCAGCCATTGGAGTGTACTGCCCTGAACTGTGCTAAAGGACACTAAAAAGGGTTCATGCGGCCCCTTCCACCAACCTGTGGGCAAGGGAATGGTTCAGCTGCCTGCCTTGAATCCAAAAGAGTCATAGCATTGTCTTGCTGCTGGCCTGCAAGGTACTACATAGCCATGCGCTTCTTCTTCTCTACTCAGTTCTGTAGAGAAACAAACAAAAGTAATTAGGCATAAAGTAGAACTCAGCATAAAGTAGCACATTTTCAACCTGATAGGTTTTACCCCATTTTCTGCCACAATACAAGAAGCTAGTTGAAGATGAGGATGCAGATTTAAGGGAAAATAGTTTCTCCCATTGGCAACCCAGTCACATAATTTCTATTACAGTTCACTTAATTTTGTCCCTTTCTGGAGAGTGAAAATACAAACTGGTGGTACAAAGGGCAGGGCCTCCTCCATTGAACCAGTCTGAAATAATTAACTCACGCAGCAAAAGCAAAGAAGCAGAGAAGTACTCAAACCTACCACCTCTATGCCATGGCCTCAGGGCATCTCATGGCAGCCCACAATTAGGACTGGGTACAATTCCTGCTTTACCATAAACTTCACTCACACTTATCTATAAGACTTTAAGCCAGAACATACCCCTTTAATTAAAAACATTTTTTGTAGCCATTAATAAGTAGCAGCGTGTAACCAATGAATATACGGATGTTGTAATCAAGAAATACACAGAAAAGTTAGGCTAAACAGGTTATCATGCTAAAGAAAAATGGAAAATACCCATATCCTGGGCTCACTGAGAAGACTCCAAGAGGAGCAATCTCCAAGAGACCCTTCCCCAGTGGTAGTCAGCTCTTAAATGGGGTCTAGGAGAGGTGGAACAAGGCTCCTCTCCTTCCAGTAGCACAGTCTTCACCTGTGCTCCTAGGACTGCCTCATTGCTCACCTCAGGTGGTCAATCAGAGGTTCAGCCCGTGATCAACAGTTCCCATACAGGCAGACAGAAGCGACGAGTTCCATAATAAAGTTTATTTAATCAGAACTATGCTTAGGAAAATACACTTGAAAGGGTTAATATAATGCAATTTAGTTTAATTTTATACTACTTTTTGAACAAAAGACTTAAAACATACTTTAAGTGAAAATAGGATGTATGATCTGGCTTGTTTTATATTAAAAACGTAGAAAAGGCCATCATGCACTACAGTAGAGAACATGAAAAAAAAAAAAAATTACCTTTGGTTTTATTCAGAGAATACAAGTATTGCACTGTAAAAGCATCAAACATGGTGCAACCAAATGTCATAAACACAACTCCATGCCAGCTTACAAAAGTTAACTAGGATAGTTTTAGAGGGAGGAAACATATGTACACATGAAACAATTCCATTAGCTATCTGGATTCTGTTAATATGCATGCCACGTATCTACACAACTGCCATTCAAGAAACCTCTTGAATTTGGTTAATACTTCTCAGCTATATTAAATCTGTTGAAATCAGTGACGCTACCACATCTTAACTGGCCTGGAAGATGTTAAACGTTCTTCTTTTGTCAATGAATGAAGGTCCAGCCTAGATCATCGAAACCCAGAAACAATGACTACAGAATCACAGAATCATCACAACTGGAAAAGACAACTAAAACCATCTAGTCCAGCCGTGATTACAATACAATGGATTACAACTGCCTAGCTATCCACTTCTGGATCTTTTCTCAAGGCAGTTACAGAGTGGATAGATCCATAGAGATGAAAACCTCAAACGCCATGTTGCTCAACCAAGGACTGGCAGTGTAGAGCTGTCGCTGTGCTAAAAACTCCTCAACCCACAATCTGAGGTTGAACACTCCTACCATTCTTAGGCTACTGTTGGCAAAACCGACACAAAATAATTTAAGAATATTGAGAAGAAGTCATTGTTTAGAGGGAGCTACATCGTAGTAAAACCATCATTGCCGGTGGCTTACCTAATCAGCATTCTCCAGTACAAATATTCAATATTAGCAATTTCTAACATCTTAGGTACATACGATGCAGTACATCTTCGCTGCTTTAACATAACATACTCCCAAATCTTGGACATAAGCCAGCAGAGAATTCCAACACTGTAACACACCAACTATATTTCAGGACGTTGCTGGTAAGGGTCTCAAAGAGACCTGTCTTCTTAATATTTCTCTAGTCTTATTTTCAGCTCCTAATCTTGAGATAGGAAACACTGCTTAACAGGAACACTGCTGTTTTCAAAGAGTTCTTGTTAGATCAAGCATTAAAACCTTGACCACTTCCCAGAAATCTGCAGTGCAGTACCTCAGAAAACCACACCCTTGTTTTTATCTCATCAAGAGACATTTTAAGTCAGTGTACACCACATTTTCCATTTAAAAACAGAATAATTATCAGGCCAGTCCACAAGTTTATCTGAACATAGCTGAAGTCCTTGAAGTCTCTCATAAGATGGCAAGGGCTCTTGGCAAGGATATAAGGGGAGCTACAATATCTCTGCACAGTACTGGAATTTCCAGCATCTGCTCATGTTACTCACAAACGTTGGCAACATTTACATATAAAAGAAACACCATTAAAAAAAAAAAAAGAAAAAAAGAAATACATCTAAGACTATTACAACAAGTTGTTTAGGAAAACAACTCAACTCAACTAAGTTTCTTTTCTTAACATTTAGCATAAATATAGTTGCAACTTGATCTTCAGTTGCCAATGATTGTCACAGCCAAGGTAAGGATTGAATGCTATCTAAGCAAACAAAAACTCACTATACAATTTATTTCTGCCATGAGGGATGCCCTCCCTCTCAAATCTTTGGCCTCCTATTTACCAATCTCTCCCAAAAGGAGAAGCAACGTAGTTTTGTTCTCTATTCATTCAAGGTTAGCTTGGGGGCTGAGGGAAGGGGAGAACATGACATGTGGACAGGGAGGAAAAAAAACAAGGTTTGCTCTAGAAATTTACATTCACAGAACGCACACCGTGAGTACCTAAAACACACTGACAAATACTGAACTAGCTCCCCAGCTCCACTCCGCAAACAACACCTGCCTCCAAAGTTACTTCTGCAGAGTTGATGAGAAGCCACCCCCAATTGCTGCACCTGACAAGAGACCTGAAGACTGTCTTTTGCAGCACAGATGGGACTTTTGCTTTTTCCCTGTTCACGTGGATTGTGTTCACATTTTGCCACTGGCAGGCACGCAATCTCTCTCACGTTTGTGTGTGCCAGAAGAAAATCTGTTTAGAATTAAAAACTCCCAGTACGATATTTCTTGCATATAGACCTGAGATCATAACCTGGTCACTTATGTGACCGATGATCTCTCTGTGAGGAAACAGGATGATTCTATTAAATGAAACCTGAATGAATAAGGAACAGGAATTCCTACAGCCTTTAATGCCAGGTTTGCTGCTTACCAGTTAGTCTGTCTTTGTTTTTCAGTGTGTGAGATGTAATTACAGTTCATCAAAATCTAACATCTATGGTAATTTTTTTTGTTGTTTTTTAAGCTTATGAAGCTTGACTGCTGTCCATCATAGAAATTAAAATAGAGAAAAAAAAAAAATCAAGCAACACCTGGACTTGTACAATTTTCAGACCATTTTCACTGACAGTGATTACTTTCCTGTCTGGTGATCCCAAACTATAAATTACAATTTATTACTCTGTATATGTACTAAAAATATCAGAAGTGGCATTTCTATGGAAAAAAAAAAAAAAAAAAACAACTATAAAATAGTGTTTTGGAACTGTGTTCATATCCTTTTGCTTAAGAACTATATAAAATTTTAAAGCTACTCAAAAATACACAGCCAAACAGCTCATAACTCTACGCACAACTAGCAAAACCCTCTGAAAAGAAGAAAAATCTGCAGTAAAGAGCATCACAGAAAACTGGCCCATGGTAAGCAACGAATCCGAATGGTTCAAAGTAACAAAAGCTTACACAAATGAAACCCAACATGCATATATAAAGTGTACATGTACTGCACAAGCGCTATTCCTAAAGGATTTATCTGCATAGGTATAAACAAAAACAATGTGCAACATTTTAAGCCTTTAAAGCAACAACAGCAAAAAAAGCAAAAACTTAAAAATAACAAACTTGCTCCCCCCACAACAGAGTCAATGACACATAACAGTTAATAAGATATTAATCAAGACAGAGGTTCTCCAAACAAAAGTTGGAAGAACTAACCCCAAATTTTGGCTCACTGTTCATACTAAGGGGATCTGAAATGTATGTTCACAATTATAATTACCTTAAACAGTTACGTTCATCGCTAGCCAACTTCGATTTGTCTTACAAAGTGCTCTTTTATGTGACAGAAGCTATCTTCCTGGTAGAAAAAGCATTGAGTAGTTTTTACCACTTTGAACATCAAGGTACGTTAAGAAGAACTAAAACAAAAGCAGAGGAGAGGGGAAAGAGGAGTTGGCTGCTAAAAGAAAAAGCAACTGCCAGTGGCTCTATAAACATCCAACTTGTGTATGGTAGCTACAAGCCTTGTTCCTAAAGCTCAACTTATAAAACAAATGCATCAGCTAACAAACTATAAACAGACAGAACTTACAGGACACAGCCTCATACACCCTACCTACTTCTTTAATGAAGAGATCCAATATTTAAAGAGGTCATTACACGAAAACTTGTCCAAAATATTTTCAGCTTAAAAAAAAAAAAAAAAAAAAAAATCCCAATGCAGACACTAAAGAAAACCATGCTTAAAAAAAAAGAATCTACAATATCTGTACATAAGCTGTATAAGATCTTACAAAAGATACACGTGCTCCCAGACCGCAGCTGTTTCTACTCCTGCCCTTTTGTCGCCTTCTCCAGATAATACACATTGACCAAGTGGCGATTGAGGTGCTTGCTGTATTCACCTTCCTTTTTAAATGAGCGGTCACAAAAAATGCATACATAGTTCTCCCTGACTGCTGTGCTACTGGCAGCTCCTTGTGAGGTCTTCGGACTGGTCTCCTCTTGTACAGAGCGAGCACCGTTTAACCCCGAATCATCGCTGCCTTCTGATATGTTGTCGCTTATGTCGCTGCCCTCATGGCTGTGGATGCCCTCATCCTCATCCATTTCCTGAGATTCGTTCACTGCCGCGTTATCCAGAGGTGATAAGGCCAGAGCTACTTCAGGGCTCTGCACATGCCCTTCTGGGGGCACAGGCGCTCCCACAGCATCTGCTGGTGGCTCTGTCTCTAGGATGCGTGTCTTAGTCAGGTCTATCGGGTCTGGGTTACTCACAGTTTCTGCCAAGCAGGTTTCCTCTGGCTCCTTCCTGGGCTCCAGATCTGGTAATACATCCGCGGGTCCGTCCAGACTTTGTTCAGAAGACACTGCATGAGAAGATTCTTCAGAGTCTTCCCCCGTGTCCATCTTTCTCTCCTCTTTTTCACAGATAGTGTCTTTGCTCTCCACTGCTGCAGCAGGCATTTCCTGATCCTTCTCCTCAGCCTCTGTGTCCGCAACCTGAGCTGACAGACACAGCTGTCTCGGTTCTTGTACGCAGCTTTCTTTGGCAATGATGTTCTCTCCCTTGCAAGTATGACCAACATTACTGTCTAATGGTGCTGGATCAGCAGGATCTTCCTCCTTCTCCTGGTCGCTGCTCGGACTGTCGAGTTTCACACATCTGTCTTCTTCTGGAAGTTGAGACTTGTCCGCCACCTCCTCTTCTTCCATCTTCTCCTCATCAAGTCTATTGCTTTTCTTACTGTGCTTACTTTTCAGAGCTTTCTTTTTTCTGCTTTTCTTAAGGCAAGAATGTTGCTTTTTAGGTTCCGCCTCTGGTACATCATCACTTTTCTGAGCTTCCTGGCAGTCTCTGGGCTTAGTTTCCACTTTCTTTTTCTTTTTTGTCATTACGATAGTATCATTCGCAGGCTCTTGCTTTGAGAAAGTTATTTCTGCCTCTGCCTTTCTTTTCACCTTCTTTGTTTTACACGGTTTCTCAGTATTTTTCTCAGTTTTAATATCTACCTCCTTGTTTTCTGAAGTCGATTTCCGACTTCTGGTCGTCACTTGGCGTGCGGGAGCATTGTTCATTGGCTTCTTTTCCTTTGCTAAGTTCTCTTTCTTCTCCACTTTCACAGTTTTCTCAGTTTTCTTTGTGGGCGAATCCCCTTTTGTTTGCTCCTTCTCCACTTTGTCACCGATGCTCTCAGAAAAGTCAGCTTCGCTCTTTTTAGTCCGTAGCTTCACCTTTGAAACATCCATGGTGATGTCTGAACAATCGGGATGCCTGGATTTGATGTGATACTGCAGGTTACACTTCTTAGATGCCGCGTAGTCACAAACAGGACAAAGAAACTGGCGCGGATTGACGTGAAGCTCAACGTGCTTTTTGAAATTGCTGCGATCCGCTGTTTTGTAGTCACAGTGCGGGCAAGTCAGAGGCTTCGGCCCATTGTGAACTTGCCTTGCATGACGAGTTACTTCATGCTGGTTTGAGGCCACGTAACTGCACTGATCACATTTGAATGGCTTCTCACCTAAAGAAGGAAGGGTGGAAGGGAATTGTGGTGATTATTAAGCACAGGGTTGGGAAGGAAATCACTTTGCACTAAGACAAGCACAGAAATATGAAATCAAAAAGAAAATTATATATATTTATATATCCATGCGCCTTTTAAATTAAATACAATCAACATAAGAAATCCACAAATCACAAACACATTCACAAGACACCAAAAACAATATGCAAAAAAAAAAAAGAGAGAGAAGGGGCAAGGACTGGGAGGAAGGGGATCCACAACCAAACAAGCAGTAACAAAGTCACAAGTTCTGGCTATGCATACATACCCGCAGAGATCTCTCTACAGTACTATTAGCAAATGGAATCCATACCCAACTGGTCCATTGAATGCATTGTAGAAAAACGGAAATGTAACATTTGATGAATAGAAGTTTCACACAAACGTTTCAAATAAGTCCAACTTTACACAAATTTAGCATACTTCACGTTTGCATTGAAAAGGAAGTAAGGGAAAATGAGCTAGCAAAAGACTAAGCATGTGAAAGATATGCCACTTCAATGATTTCTGCCTCTGTTCAGTTCAGTTCAGTGGAGTTCATCACTGTCTCATTTAGGTCACATTTATGGGTTGGCTGCAGGCCACCGTTGGCAAGAAATATGTAGGCAGTCTAAAGCCATCATGTTGTTACTACTGAAAGCTGCATTTTTTAAATGACTCCTGCATGCACAAGTGTTTCTGAAATGTGAGGTTTAGTGCACACTGGTGCAACAGAATCCATTTACACTCCAAAGCAAAGAGGAAAAACATTTTCGGCACAATAACCCAGGTTGAAAAATACTTTGAGAACTTTTTTGCCTATACAAATTCAGCTGAGGGGTGCTACTTAGATCTAAACTAGCATTTAAAAATTTACCTCCAAAACTAATGCATGCCACTTCCTAGGCATATTGAAAAGTCATTCCAGATCCTTTTCTCCATAGTTGTGCTGCCTCTCTGGCAAGAGGGTGGGTGATGCTTGCTTAGGAGTCTAGAAAATTTCATTTCTGCCTGCAGCATCTCTTTATTATTTAATGAAGGATTATTTTAACTTCAGCTGTTAATAAAACACCAGTGCATAGCAGATCACTAAAGAGGTTAAGATCGGAGGCAGCCTGAGCTGTAGGTCTGGTCTGGTCACGTTCACTATCTTGAGGAATATGGGCTTGCCAAAGAGAGGAGTCAGGACCCTGAACTTCAGGAGAGCAAACTTCAGGCTGTTTAAGGAATTGTTAGATTAGATCCCCTGATCTCCTAGGAAACTGTCCTTAGGGACAGACAAATTGAACAGAGCTGGCAGCATTTTAAGAACATCCTTCTCAGAGGATCAGAGCTCTCCATCCACCAGCTTAAGAGATCAAGCAGAGGAGGCAGGAAACCAGCACAGCTGAGCAAGAACCTACTGGTCAGGCTGAGGGATGAGAAGGAAAAGGGCAGTGGAAGCTGGGATGGATGCCCTAGGAAGAATACCGAAATACCATTTAGGCAAATAGAAGTGGGATCACAAAAGCAGGAAAGCCAAGGCACAGATGGAACAGAACTTGTTGAAGGATGTGAAAAGTAACAAGAATGGTTTCTTTTGATACATTGGGCAGAAGAGACAGGCAAAGGAGAGTGTACTCCCTCTGATAAATGACAAGGGAGAACTGGCTTCAGCAGACATAGAGAAGACTGAGGTACTCAACAAGATTTTTGCCTCAGTCTTCACTGGCAGTCAGGCTTCCTACACCTCTCACTCCCCTGAACCTCTACATGGAGGTAAGAGGAAGCAAAATCTCTGCAAATGTAAAAGCAGACCAAGTCTGAGACCACTTCATGAGGCTGAATCTGTACAAGTCCATGGGGCCAGATGACGTACATCCCAGGGTTCTCAAGGAACTGGCTGATATGGTTGCCAAACCACTTTCCGTCATATATAAACAGACACAGCTGTCAGGCAAAGTCCCCAGTGATTGGAAAAAAGAAAAACAACACTCCCATTTCTAAGGGAGAAAGGAAGACTAGAGTAACTACAAGCCAGTGAGCCATCTTTGTGCATGGGAAGATCATTCAGATCCTCCTGAAAGAGACATTAAGGCACGTGAGACATAAGCAGGTGATCCAAGACAGCCAACACAGGGGCAGATTGTGCGTAACCAATCTGCCGAATTTTTGGGATGGTCTGAAAGAGTCTGTGGACAAAAGAAGGCCAATTGATATAGTCTACCTGGACTTGCGCAAGTCCTTTGACATGGTCCTGCGCCGCATTGCTATCTCTAAATTTGAGAGATATGGATTTAAAGACTGGACTATTAGGTGGATAATAATTGGTTGGATGGTCACAGTCAGAGGGTTGTGGTAAATGGCTCTATGTCCAGATGGAGGTTGGACATGACTAGTGTCCCCTAGGGATAGGTCCATCCAGAGAGACAAGTACAGACTTGAAAAGTGGGCCTACAAGAACTAATGAGGCCAAGTACTTGGGTCAGGGAAATCCCACATACGCGTACAGACTGGGAGAAGAATTTATCTGAGAAGAGTCCTGCCCAAAAATATTTGGGGGTACTGATGAATGAACATAAGCTAGCACTTGCAGCCCAGAAAACCAACTGTATCCTGAGCTGCATCAAGAGGGGTGGCCAGCAGGATGAGGGAGCGGATTGTCCTCCTCTGTTCTCATGAGGCCTCACCTGCACTCCTGCATCCAGGCCTGGGGCCCCCAGCACAAGAAATTTGTGGGGCTATTGGAGCAGGCTCAGAGGAGGGCCACAGAGATGCTCAGAGGGCTGGAGCACCTCTCCTAAGAAAGGCTGAGGGAGCTGAGCTTGTTCAATCTGGAGAGAAGAATGCTGCAGAAACTTAATTGCAGCCTTCCAGTACTCAAAGGGAGCTCATAAGCAAGAGAACTGACTTTTTACACAGTCTGACAGTGACATTTCAACTAAAAGAGGGGAAATTTAGGTCTGATGTTAGGAAAAAATTCTTTACTCTGAGAGCAGCAAGGCCCTGGCACATGCTGCCCAGGGAAGCTGTGGACACCCCATTCCTGGAGGCATTCGACGTCAAGTTGCATGGGGCCCTGGGCAGCCTAATCTAGTGGAGGGCAGCCCTGTACATGGCAGGGGGTTGGAACTACATGATGCTTAATGTCCCTAACAACCTAAGCCATTCTATGATTATATGACAGCAAGAGTTCCATGTGCAATCGCACTTCTGTCAGCATAGTTCACGCCCTCCTTCCCAGACCTTGAAGTCAATGACCACGGGCAAATCCTACAGTTCACCTCCTTCCAATTTGCACAGATTTGGTCTTTGCACAGACAAGAGAAGAAAAAGATAATGAAAAAACAGTTTCCAGGCACAGTGTTGACCAAACCATTTACAGATTCATATTTAGCACAGATGTGCAGTCAAAAATGTTTTTTGTTTCTGAAAGCAGAATGCTTCAATTGAAAAAGTCTCAAACTAAAATACTGGCAGGTTCTTTTAAAGCTGCCTATTTTTAATGGGTCCAAACCATCATCACAAAACAATTAAAACTGCCTTCTTGTCTCAGCTATTGAAATTGAAATGACTGTTCAGGATGCTTTCTGTTACTGTTTCATAGGATTAGAACTTTACCTAGGTCTGATCAATTCATATATTAGCAAACCAAGAGCGTGAGCTGAGATGCATGTAAGCTCTCCTTAGGGAGCTTAAGGGGTCACAAAGCACAGCTGTGCTTGTGTCTAGCATGATTATGGGAGTAAAAGCTCCTAAGAATGCCATTATTTAATTTAAAAATAAGACTAACAGGAGATAACATGCACAGAGCAATGGAAAGAAGGGAGTTCTTGACATCACCGCTTTATGATCAATTATGAAGTATAGAGGCTAGTGAAAATTGCTAATTTGGCTTTTAGTACCACAAGACCAAATCACTCTAAGTTTGCTTATTCCTTCTCAGCATGTCCTTGCCAGAATCAGGCACTACTTTGTATCCTTCTGTAACACTAAGCAAAATATGAGGATTTCCTCTGATGGTCATTTATCATCCTGCAGGATGAAATGAAACCACAGACATCACAAGGGGAGATTCTCGGAGGTTCATACCTTTTTCAGCTTACTTGATTTGAACTGATCTATGACAGCAGACAGAAAACAAGAACCTGCTCATACATTATCACAGTGTTGGATTTACTGCAAAACTACTACAGCAGTCCTACAAATCTCAGGATACACCCTGGATAGCGAAGAAAAAGACATATTCCCCTGTCACCACTTTTATTAATGGCATATATCTTTAGCAGGTAGGAACAACCTTAGCTGTTAAAAAAGAGAAAGGCAGCTAAAGCTCAGGTCACGCTGGATGAGATGACAACTTCATGTCACACAGAACCACCCCCTTTTCTGAGTCATGCTGCTGCTGCTTACCAACCTGAGTGGGTGCGCATGTGCCTGGTTAAATGTGTCTTCTGAGAGCTGGAATAGGGACACATAGCACACTGATAGGGTCGCTCTCCTGCAAAAACAAAATAAAACACCAAATTAATTACTGAAACACACATGACTCCCATCTTTGGTTCCTGAGCCTTACCCGCCAGGCCGTCACAGAACCCCAAGCTGTATCTGAAAACACAGTCTCTCTCAAAACGGCCATGGTGAGAAGCATATGTCTCAGGTGAACCAGTATGTATCACACTCAGGGTAGTGAAGGGACAGAATATGAAAGGCACAACCCCACATCCACCTGAAGTCAAACGGCTCTCTGGCAAAAAGAGATTGGAACTGCTACCCTTACAGAAATCCTAAGCTACTAGAGCTCATTTTTCTACATTCTTTCTGCCAGCACTCTGATGACCCAAGAAGCCAGGTTTTTGCTTCCCCTCACCTCCATGTTTAAGCCTGTGATGTGGAAAACTGCAACGCCTGGCTCAGTGAAACTGTGCTACCAGCAATAGCTTAAGAATAGCAGCAACATTTTGAAGACTTTCAAACCTGCAGTTCCTTCACCTGCAGTTACTGTTTCTGGAGAACTAATGGAAATTAGCCTGCCTCAAATTTTGTCTTCACAAGAGACAGTCCGTGTAAGTATCAGTAATTTCTTTTCAAGCAGAGGCAAGCCCAAAGTAAAGGCGGTCAATTTTAGAATCTGGTAGGAAGATGCAAATAAAAGCACCAGGTTTTGGTTTGTTTGGTCTTTGGTCGGTTTTTGCCTCAAACTTCTAATGCATCTGAGAGATAGAGAATGCCCCATCACTGCAAGCTGGAACAACACGTTTTAGTTTGGAGCAGGGATAGGAGTGAAGTTTGGAAGGGAAAAGCAAATCCTCACTTGCTATTTATTCCAGACACACCAGAACCATATCACTGCGTTTTCCTACACTAGACTAAGCACACAACCAATGTGCTCTTCAACGAGACTCAGGTGTCAGCAAACATCCCATATAAAGACTGTGGACAGTTCTACCTGCAGCGGCAGAGACCTCCAGCCGCCTGGAGGAGAGACCTTTGTAATGCATGCAAATCTCCTGCATTTCTTCCTGCCATCACATCGTTCAGATTAGCACTCTTGATTAAATCAGTGCTTAAATGTCAAATCACCCTAACAACCAGAGCTTGCCCCCCCCTTTCCAGTTAAGATTAAGTCATGTCCCAGGGAGGGGTAGGGCTTTGTCATAAAGGAACGGCTGTTTTTTTCAGTGACTACAAATTGTGGCCAAAGGTCCTGGAATACACAGTCGAGTGCTATTCCCAGTACCTCACATTTCACATCTTTCAACTTATCTGTAACTTCAACAACGTGGCAAAGACGTTGTATTTTCTATAAAGCACATGAGCAAAACATACTAGACGAAGGTGATGAACATAACATAAGATGCATGCTATCACCGCTTGAAAATTAAACACGTTGTGTAAGGGCTGTTTTATAGTGCTATTTGCCAAAGGATTGACTGTCATTTTGCAAGCTCGTTGCAAACAAGCTACCAAAAAAGCCTCTCCAGAAGACACTCACAGAAAAAGCTTTGGTATTTGTGGGAGTCCTCAGTAAGTCAATTCAGCTCATTGACCCCCAGAAAACAAACTTGGGAAACAAGAAAGGAGCATTTTATTGCCATTTTAGTGAGTAGCATCAACGAGTCCAAGACAGAGGGGAGAAAAAACACTTTCCTGCAGCACCAGAGCATAGCCGGTGTTTCAGACAACCGACCCAAATGCAATAGAAGACATTTATCTGCAAAGAGGCTTCTTCCCACACAGAGTAAGTCAGGTGCAACAATCAGGAACATCAAGCTAAGAACAACTCCAGCTTCCTTATCTCCACAACCTCAATTCACCGTCTGGCTCCTTTCCAATGGATATTTTTATTACGTTTTCTCCTTTAAAACTGTTACCCAAAGACACTCGTATTTATTCAGACAGTTTTCATTACAGTCAGTGCTGTTATGTTAACAGTCTGCAAAGCAATCAATTACACAGTAGTGCCAGCAGAAGTGCTGAGCCTGGTGGATCAGCATACTTGCCAGTAGCTCATTCTTTCTTCTTTAGCTTTCTCTTTGGCTTTAAACACTTGGGGACAAAATCTACGTTACTGGAAACAAGACACGTTCCCAAATGAATCCACATATTTGAGAGCTTTTTAATCAAGCAAGAATCAGCTTGAAGATCCCTATTTGCCAGGCTAAGACGACCCAGCAGAGAAAGCAAGCACCAGAGCGAACCAAAAAGTGCTGAAATCATCATTCATCTCAGCTTAGTTGGAACAATGAGAAGACATGACAAACCAAAGAACCAAAAACCTAATTTAAAGGAGAAAAGAGGAACTGGATAACAGTTTAACTTGCTTTTTTTGTTGTTGTTGTTTTTGTTTTTAAATATCATTAAATACTACACCAGTCTTGAGTGTCCTCATCAGCTCAGAGCTTAGCAACTGCCAATGCAAAGAGCTCTGCCCTCTGTCAAGGCTGTGATGCTGGGAAGCGAGTCCTACAGTGAATGATTGTCTCAGGTTGCCTCTCTCACAGCTTGTGGAGAGTTTGAACAGTGTTTTCCCAAACTTGCTCCAGTGAGTTTCTGCAAATCTCTCTGAGGTCAGAGTTGGGCACTCAACATCAGACTAACAGGAGAATAGGAAGCCAAGACAGATGTAAGGCACCACAGCGTGGACTCATGCTTGGCCATGAATTCCTGGGGAGGGTTTAGCTTTCTCCTGCTCTTTGGTAATTTCTGCCTGCTTTCTTTCTCACCACCTCCCACAGTACATACAACGAAAACTGGAGAACAACCAGAGAACAACCGTTTGCCCAACATCTCTTACAAGAAACTGCAAATAAGTTGAGTCAAGAGCGATTTTAAACAATGCTATCCTCTGAACAACACCACATGGCTACTGTTAAGGAGTATTAACACACTGAAAACCAGAGCATACCCTCCAGATCCCATCAGAGCAGACACCAGAACATGGCACTTCCAACCTGTGTCAGCAGAGTGGACTTCAGCAGTGGGAAGCAACCTCCAAAGAGAAGTCTTTCCTTCCAAGAAGGAATCTCAGCATGGTATTTCCCAACTAGCTGCAGCTCACAGAGATGCACTGCAACCCAATGTTCTGTTGGCACATGGGCCCATCTGGTATAAATCAGAGCAGAAAGGAGCCCCACACTTCCCTTCAAGACTGCAAACTGGTGGATGGGAGAAGAGGGCAGGAAATCGGGACGGAATCTCTCCCAGGGGCTTCCTATAGACCAACAAACGCAGTATGGGCTCCTGCTGTGAAGTGGCTACATCAGGATTCCACATTGCATACCCTGACAACCATCACATGCCCACTTTTGTCGTGCTCTCTTAAAAAAAAAAAAAAAAGTTTCAAGTCCCTAAACAAGATGTTCTTCATCTCCTCCCAGGCCCCTGAAATGAGAGATTTTCTCTGTCCTCTAGAGCTTGCAGACTGGAGCTCAAAGCAAACTCATGATACAACCCGACAGCACTACATACAACAGCAATGGGCCTTATCAGGGCGGAACAAACTCTGCAAACAGAAGAATCGTCTTTCGCTTCATTCATTCGGTTTCCCTCTACTGTTGCCATACTTAAATGAAAAGAAACTAAAGACTTACCCGTATGAGTTCTAATATGCTGAATATAGTTGTTTTTCCTGTCTGAAAAATAGGAGCACTGCGAGCAGGTGTATACTTTCCTGGGAAAATGGTTTCTCAGGTGTTTCTTCCAGTGATACTCACTGACGGTGGTGTAAGTGCATATGGTACACTTGTACACTCTCTCGTTTTCTCCCGCTTTGTTGTGGTGCTTCAGGTGAGCCAGGTAGTGATCATATCTGTTAGTGTTGTAGCCGCAGCGATCGCAGCGGATCGGACCCTTGGAGAAGTCCACTTCTTCCGTGCTGTAGGAATCAGACTCCTTGATCTGCACTTGTTTCTCTGCATTTTCTTCCACGAAAAACTTCTTAGCACTGTGAACTCTGATGTGGTGCACAAATTCCTCTTCAGACTCGGCCTCGTAATGGCAAGGCTTGCAACGGAATGGTTTGTTCTTGAGGCTCTTACACTTGTCCTCAGAGCTTTCTGGAGTGCCTGGAGCTTCCAATGGGACATCTTTGTCCGTGCTGGGAGTCTCTGGACAAGCGTCCGGGCCTTGGGTTTCCACGTCGGGTGCTTCCAGAGAGCTCAATTCCACATTTTCCGAGGCGCCACGGTCGCTCTCTGCAGCACGGCTATCCTCCACGCCCTCCGCGTCGCTGTCTGAGAAGTTGCCGTCACCCACCGTGGTCAGCTCGGCCATCTGCCTCTCCTCTCCCACCAGATAATCGCAGCAGTTGCCATTCACCTCTCCCGTCAGGGCCACGTTGGCCAACATGATCAGCTGCGGGGCCGCCAGCTCGGCTTTGGAAAGGTCGTGCAAGTCATACATGTCGTTGGACAACGCCATGCCGATGTTAGCGCCGCCGGGAAAGAGCCCGTTCCCACCGGACTGTCCCAGCACTTGAGTCGCCATAGCAGCGGTTCTGCCGAGAGGGGAAAAAAAGCACACCTGTAAGCAGTCTCGCACCGGGAAGGCCTCCTCTTGGCAACACCGCCCGCGGAGGAAGCGCGGCCCGAGCGCGGCTCCGGGCCGAGCCCCGCCATGGCGGCCGGGGGAGCCGCGGCCTCCACCGAAACGCCGCCGGCCCCGCGCGGCCCGACCCGGCCCGCATCCGCCCCGGGAGGCGGCCGGGGGAGCCGGGCCGTGCCCCCGCAGCCCTCCCTCCTCCCCTCCCTCCCTCGCAGCCAGGCATGCGGCCATTTTCTGCCTGCCCACACAAAGCGGCCCTCCCCGCCGCCGCCGCGGGGCCCGTCCGGGCACGGCCGCCCCGAGGAGTCCGGGACGGAGGAGACGGCCCCGCTTCCCGCTCCACGGCGCGGGGGCGGCTGAGCGTCTCCGGCAAGGTCACGGCGGCCGCTCCCGCCCGTCGCCGGGCGGACGGAGGACGAGCGCCGCCCGGGGCCCTCCGTTCGGGCCCGCGGTGGCACGGCCGAAACGTCTTCCGGCGGCGGAGCGCGGGCAACGGCCCCGCCGCAAGCGCGGCGCGGACGGCCGACGCGGCCCCTTAGCCGTGGTGCTGATCCCCCCGCGGCCCGGCCGGGCCCGGCCCCCCCCCCCCGCCGCGCGGCCGCCGATCAGCCCTGGACAGCGCCCGTCGCCCAGCCCGGCTCCCTCCCGCCTCCTCCGCCTCCTCCCCCGAGCCCAGGCCCGAGTCCCGCCGCACTCACCGGCGGCTCGAGGCCGGCCGGCCGCGGGGCTGCTGCGGGACGCGGAGCGGGGAGGCGGCGCTGCGGGCGGGAGGCGCCGCGCATTCCAGCAC